GTTTTGTGGTTCAGGGGGTAATTCGGACAACCACGATAGTTCGGGGGTGTAATTCATACTTTTTCCTTTTTTTTTAACTTTACCAAAAAAAAGATAAGGTTAAAAATGGTAGCAAAGTGAACAAGCCCTTAATACTATTAAGTTGATTTTTTATGTGATGGAGGAAGTATATATCATCAAAGAGAGCTAGTCACTTGTATTGGTCTAGTCCCTCCGTCCCAAAATAACTCAACCTAGGACTTAGCCTAGGACAACAAATATGGACAATCGTTGTTCTAGGATGTGTTGTCCAGATTTATTGTTCTTATATGTGTCACATCTCACTATATAGGTTAATATATAGGTTAAGTTATTTTGGGACGGAGGGAGTATATATATATATATACTACATTACTAGACTAATTAATCGCCATTTCACATGTGTTCTGGCGCGGTTGATAATAAATTATTACTAGTCATCAATCCCTGTATTGCATGAACTAATTACTCCCTCGGTCCCTTTGTAAGCGGGGTTATAAATTTCTATGCCTATCTTTGATCATCCGTATTATTTATTTTTTTAAAAAAAATAAAAAAATATAAGACATGTATAAAATATTATTCATGTTTTATCAATTATCATCTAATAACATAAATGCTAATCATAAAAAAAATCAAACAAGACGGACAATTAAAGTTGGACTCAGAAGGAGTACTAGTCACCAATCCCTATGTTGTATAAACTATTATAAATATTATAATTTTAATCATATTGTAAATATATGGCTTTTTTTAGTTATAATGGTTAGATTAATTAAAAGAAGAGTCTAAGCAGTTAAGTACAACTTGTTAATTATTGATTTCGGATTTCAGGAAAATAAATTAGTAGTAAAGTACTAATTGAGATATACAAGTTCGTATAATTTTAGCACAAGATTTTGGAGAAATTTAAACAAAAATTCTTGATTTTCTAGAAGTAAAAAAAACCTAAGACACCATAATATTTCCAATCGCACTTTCTATTGCGATCATGTTTAAGGGAGCTCAATATTCTAAGACAACAACTAATAAGTATCTAGTGGTTGAGAATATAAAATAGTCTATTAGCTCATTTTCTAGATTATATAGCTACTTAGTCTTATAGTCTTGATGTGAATTTAGACGGAGATTATGAGAAAAGTTTTACCGTAAGAATATAAATTTGGCATGGCAAGGGATTACATCCTGTTCCATAAAAAGTTTAATCCTAATTATAAACTTGGACACATGTATATTTAGTAGGTTTACAGTCGGTGTTGATTTTTTTTTTACAGAGAGCCCATTTCGTTTTTAAGCTATACATGCAAGTTACCTAGGTGGTCTCACCTACTCCTCGTAATTAGCTTGATATACCCTGTATATGTACGTCAGTACGTAGTTCGCGTAGCCGCGCGATCAAGCTAGAGCACGAGGGGATCAATTATTTTTTTTACAAACTATAAGCTTATAACCCTGGAAGGCCGTAACCATGAAAACTGAAAAAATATATCACTACCTACACACCGACAGCGCCAACACATATTCAGGAGAAAGTTAGCACTGGACCGACCGCCGCTAAGCGTGACCGACCGTTGCTAAGTCAACAAAGTAACATAGGTGTGATCATCCAAAACTCGACCCTTACGACCAACACAACGTTCTACTCTATTCTAAGTCTTTAGAATTTAGGAAGAGAGGGCAAGAGACAAGAATGGAACTCCTCTCCGAGGGAATCAAATAAAGGTCAAGGCACACGTCAAGCTAGCTAATCCAGCTCGTCGGCTAGGACTAATGGCCGAAGCACTTTAGTTTATCTAAATTACTCTGGTCCTAGCTACATTGTGTGATACGTATCATATAGATATCATTATATCCAGTGCATGCTCCACCAGACAGCAGTTGCCATTAATAATTAGTCAGCTAACCAAGCTGGATCTATCCATCCATCCATCTTAGCTCACACTGCATGTACACATTAGCAACTAGTAGGAGTAGTAGCTAGCTTGTTCCTGAAAAAGTTCAGAGATTGCTTGGTTTGAACACAACTTGGACCGTATACTGCAGGCTTGCAGCACGCATATGGTGACGGTGTCCCCGTCGTGCTAATGCATAGGACAGAGCAGAGGTACACACAACTGGTCAAGATTCCAGGGACTAATTGTAGCTAGGACGACTAATTAGACCCCGGATTAGGTACTAATATAATTAACTACACACCCTCATGGACATGGAGCCATGCATCCGGCACTGGCTGCCTTACTTGCTGTCGCCTCCATGATTAACTAGTGGTGCTAAACTGTGTACCTCTTTGTTCCTAATTATGAGAATCTCTAGATTGATTAACGGAAATTTCCATTCAACCATCTTAGCTAGATTTCAAATTGGTTAGAATCCTCCTCTTAAACATCTGATTGGCTGGAAATGCTTTAGACTCCTGTACATTTGAATCGTTATCTAAAAATAACTATGATGTGTGTAAAAACTTAAATTCTAGAGATACTTATATTTAGGAAACGGGAGAAAGTACTCCATCTCAAAACAAATTCATTTTTGGGTTATATCATTTGTTCCAAAATAAATTCACTTTTCTTTTCTCAACCTATCCCGGTCAACAAATCGATGAATTTTATTTCTTTAATATCCTTACCAATACACTCATCAACGGTGTTTTTTTACGAACTACTCACTCCGTCCAAAAAAACCCAACTTAGGACAACCATTCGTCCTGATTCATTGTACTAAGAGGGTCACATTCTTTTTCAGGTTAGATTTTTTTAGACGGAAAGAGTAAAGATGATCGTATTTTGGGACTAAGGGATTAGTACGTGACTGAACTGTTTCTTGATTGGAGGCCATTGCAGAGAGCCAGAAGAAGGATCATGCGGCACATGACATGAGACGAGGAGAACACATGTGCAGTAGTAGTACGTGGTACTATACGGCCTGTAGCCATGTAGTGAGCGAGACTGTGTGTCTGTGTGTGACAGTGTGAGAGTGAGAGATTAGGGAGCAGAATATGGTTGGGCTCCATGGATCTCTGCACGCTGCCTGCCAAGCTAGCTTTGCAGTTTGCGTGACAGGTGCCCGTCGTCCTACGTGGAGCAAGGAAGGAATCCGATGGAGACGACAGGTTAATTATAGTCATTAGCGGCACGTAGGATTAGTGAGTAAAACAAGGGAGAGAACAAGGTGAACATGGCCGGGAAATCGGCGATAAGGTTAAGTATTAATGACACTGATTGTTTAGACGTGCAAGGGGCTTCTGAAAAGAGTACATCGGGTTGGCATTTCCATTCTGGCTAAGCTCTGTTAACATTCGTAATACGGATTTTGCCCCCCTGTTTCGATCGAGGACAAGCTAACTAAACAGAGATGGATTAATGTTCTACAGAGATGAGATGATTCAGGTGTGGGGCATGACGTTGCTTGGTGGTGTTTAGTAGGGCGAAGGTAGGTAGTACTTATGGTTGACAGAGCATATATACATGGATTGTCCTCTGATTGGGTCGACGTAAAGCTAATGATGCATCATCATGCATTTAGGAATATCGGATTATATTAGGCAGGAGGCGATCCAGATTAATCAGAGATCGATCGAGGTGTATGTACTACACAGTACGTCGTGCTGTCTTGGCGACGACATGGAGATCAAGGTAGATGATGGATCGAACCTAAACATCTTGGAATTAGCACGAGGCTGCTTGCAGCCCGGTGCTTTATGCCCCTGCGGCTCTGCAATGCAGCTAAGCTAACACATCATTGGTTGATTAAGGCGCAGAGATCTGGAGTTGAATAGTTGGATGAGCCCAGATGCACTGTCAGTGCTTGTCGGTGATGCATGATTATCGAATAACTGATCGGCGCCACGTGAACTTTTGGAGGGAGATCGATGGTTGATGACGACGGTGACTCAATCATTTAGCCATGGCTCCTGTTGTTTTTGTCCTCTTCTTCCTTTTGAGGAGAACCCACACATGTTTGATCTTCATTTTTTTGAGAAAGAATGTGCATACACATAGTTAATACTATAGTTAATGTATCTTTGCGATCAGCGGTTGATTTGAGTAGGCACAACTCACAAGCTCGTCCCGCTAATTGTCGGCTTCGACAAGCGGTAGCAAACTAGCAACCAAAACCAGCTAAAATGTGTCAAAATTAAAAAAAAAACAAAACAAGCTAATCTGGGCCGTTCATCCCGAGCCCATTGCAACCCCAATGCTTATAGGCCTTATGTTAGTGCACGATCTTGTTTCGGCCCAATACTAATGGCCCAGAGGTAGGCGGCGATCCTGTCCCGTGCCAACAATATGGGCCGCACGTTGGACGCTATACCGTTACGGCCCAACATTTCTCGGTCACATGTAGGCCTCATTTCCATTCCAGCCCAACATTTATCGGCCGCACATAGTACGTCGACCCGCGAATCTACTTATTTAAAAGCGATTTTGCTATATCTCACTCGAAAGATTTTTTTTCTTATCTATCACTCGATTTTCTCTCTCAATTTTACATTGCATTTTCTTGTAAGTTACAGTGTAATTTATGAAACTTACACTGTAACTTTTGTAAGTTACACTGTAATTTTTGAATCTTCGCACGTAAATTTTAAATTTTGTATTGGATTTGGTCTTTTTCTTGAGGATATGGTAATTTAGTGTCCATTATGGTGTTTCTTAATTGTCTTTTGCTTTTTATTATATCTATCGGATTTTAATCCAAAGATTAAAAATCTGTGTGATACGATTATAAAAATCTTTCGAAAGATGTATAGGTACTCCCTAGGCCGCATTCATATATGGGCCACAGTGAGGCCGCGATACCGAATGGCCCAATACATGTGGGCCGCACGTCGGTCGGAGATCCAGTTCCGGCCCAAGTATGGTGGTGGGCCCCACGCCCCACCGTCCGAATCGACGCCGCGTAGGCGTAGCCTGCACCTTCCCCGCCACGTGTTCCGCCACCGCTCTCAACTCTCTCTTTCTAGATCGACTCGCCTCAACAGCCAAACCGTCATCCCCGTTCGTCGCAAAGAGAGAAACCCCCCGCACGAAGCAAAGAAGCCGCAACCGCAAGCCCCAAGAGCGAAACCGTAACGAAGGGAAAGTTTGGGATGCGCGTTGCTGCGACGACGCGGCCCGCCTCCTCCTCCGCCGCCGCTCCGCTCCCCCTCTTCCTCCTCCTCGCCGTCGCCGCCGCCGCCGCCGCCCTGTTCCTCGTCGGCTCCGCGTCCCTCGCCATGGCCGGCCACGTCCTCGGCGGCGCGCACGACGCCCCCTCCGCCGCCAACAGCGTCGAGACCGACGCGCTCGCCCGCTTCGCCGTCGACGAGCACAACAAGCGCGAGGTGAAGCCCCCTCCCCCCCCCCTCCCCCCTCCCTCTCTCTCGCTTCCTCCCCAGTGGCGATTTTGTGGGTACTGAACTTGTGAGGGTTCTCTGGGTGTGGTGCTTGCAGAACGCGCTGCTGGAGTTCGTGCGGGTGGTGGAGGCGAAGGAGCAGGTGGTGGCCGGCACGCTGCACCACCTCACGCTCGAGGCCCTCGAGGCGGGGAGGAAGAAGGTGTACGAGGCCAAGGTCTGGGTCAAGCCGTGGCTCGATTTCAAGGAGCTCCAGGAGTTCCGCAACACTGGGGATGCAACCACCTTCACCAACGCCGACCTCGGCGCCAAGAAAGGTTTTCGCTCCCACTGATCTCGCCTGTCGCCTGCCTCTAATCTTTGCTTGTTTTGAGATATTGCGTGCTTGCTCGCACGCTAGCTTGTGATTCTGCGAAGGGAGGGGATTGGGCATGGGTGGTGATGACGAGGTGTATGTAGAAATGCCTAGTCATCTATGGAATAGTTTCGTTGGAAAAAAAAACGACAGTGTAGAGTCGAGATCATCGACTGGGAATGAGTGACGGTTGGGTTCTCAATTTCTTGCACAAGGAATTGCCAACATTTCCACAATCATATAAATGTTGACAATTATACAACATTTCTACATGTATAGCTTGAAATACATTTCTACTGGGAATAAGTGACGGTTGGATTCTGTGATAGCTTGGAATTTGACAACTCACAGCGGCAGGTGACTGTATTCTTGTCATCCTCTGTTAAAAACCTCTTTTACTGAATTTAGATAGCTGTGGCATGGTTAATGGTTTGCTGTTGACTCCATTTAGTTAATAGTGATCTGAGTTGTTGTTACCAAGCATTTGATTCTACATACAGAGAGCACAAGTTGTAACGTGTGAAGCTCAACCTTTATGTTTTTGTTTAGTTTCTTATTTTGTTTGTTAGTTACACATTCATGTCTAGTTGAGTTTGTTATATGTGCCCTGTTGAACTTAAAAGGTAATTAGTCCAAACCTTAGTTTTCTTCTTCTTATATTTTTTTGAAAAAGTTCTTCTTATGTTTGGTGGGTATAACTTGGTAGATCAATTTTATGCTGCTGGGTTGCGTAGTTATATATTTGAACATCCTGCGTAAGCTGATCCCTGCTAATATGTCCTTCTAAAACTTTGGCATGCCATGCTCGATCTATATTCTGGTGACATACCCCTGCTCGATTTCTATTTTGGCATGACATGCTCCTGCCTGATCTCTATATTCACTCTGCTATGCTGCTTGAACAGCCGCCCAATCATGGCGGCATGTGTATGTTCATGCTTTACCACCTTGTCTGTCTGAACAAACTATTACATGAATCCCATCAGATTGATGCAACACCTCACTGCATGAGCATGAGTGCATGACGATTTGATTACATTTGCTTGCCTATCACCACACACACCCTGTATGTCTGCATCATAATCCCACTATTATGTTTCAATATTGCATTATCACCTAATGTATCATTGGGTGGTACTGGTATATTTAGAAGAACTTATGTAGATGTAAAATTTCATGAGAAAATAATATTCACAACATACAGTGTCTAGTTAGTGCATTCTCCTGTTTTATTGCTTGTAGAATTCTATTATAGGGTACCTGTGATAATGTTTGTTTTGCATTCATGTGAGCTGCAGCGGACTGGGCATAATCTCATTTGTAGCATGGATAGCAGTAGCATTACATGCTTATATTTATATAGTGCATTTTGAATTCCAATCAGATCACCACACCAGCTAGAAAGAGTGCTCAAGGATTCTCACACTAATTATTTGTTTGAGTGTTAGAAGTTTTGCTGTACGTCTATATGTTTATGTCAGTTCTTCATAAGCTAGTTTCAGACAGCAGAATGTTACACCTGTGCCACAGGGGTTAAAGCAAAAGAAGTTCCTCCCCTTCTGGCATATTTGTTCATAAGAATTTGCATTCCATAATATTTTTGAGGGAGGGAAGAGGTGTGCCCAGCATCTACAGGTAGTAAAGACATGGTCTAATTATATTGTATTTGTAAGAGTGTAATTACCATAATCATGCTAAACTGTGAACAAATGGGCATAATTACACACTATCCATGCATATATCAAATGCTGACATGATGCCATGCAAGCCTGGTGCCTGGTTTTCCTTCTACCAGTTTAAAGAGGGTTGAGCACCCCAAGGCACACTATGCATCCTTCTACCTATTTGAATATGTTTTCCTTTCAGTGAAACGTGGCAGATGTCAATGTCAACACATATGATACAAAGTGGCTAATTAGAATGTGATAGTTTCTTCATGTGCCAATTCATGGATGTTGAAAGTTGATCACACACTTGTGCTGTATATGAGATATTGTTATAACTTCTAAACCTGATATTGAACTCAATGAAATTTCAGGTGGACATGAGCCTGGGTGGCGTGATGTTCCAGTACATGATCCTGTAGTCAAAGATGCTGCAGACCATGCTGTGAAATCAATCCAGCAGAGGTCAAACTCCCTGTTTCCATATGAACTTCTCGAGATCGTTCGTGCAAAGGCAGAGGTCAGCTATTGTGAATTCATCCATCCAAAGATTATCTTTTCTTTTTTGTATCTAATTTAGTAATGCTGAGCTTATAGTTCACTTAGGCAGCGTTCGAGAGGGTGAGAGAGTGAGTTTGTTTGTTTCGTTTTCCGCGCGCACGTTTCCCAAGCTACTAAACGGTGCGTTTTTTGCAAAAATTTTCTATAGGAAAGTTGCTTTAAAAAATCATATTAATCCAGTTTTGAAATTTAAAATAGTTAATACTCAATTAATCATGAGCTAATAGCTCACCTCGTTTTACGTATCTTCTTAATCTCCTCAATCCCCTTCTCCTCAAACACACCCTTATTTCTGATATGGTTATCAATCAGGTTGTTGAAGACTTCGCAAAGTTTGACATTCTGATGAAACTTAAGAGGGGAAACAAGGAGGAGAAGTTCAAAGCCGAGGTCCACAAGAACCTTGAAGGGGCATTTGTACTGAACCAGATGCAACAAGAGCATGATGAATCGAGCAGCCAGTGAACCTTGCCACATTAAGCTGTAGTTATGTAGTTTGTGTTCAATAAGAAAACAGTGAACATGCACCCTTCCGTTTCTATCGGGACATAGGCTGGAACTTGTTCCTAACATCGATGAAAAGAAGACACTACACTATCCTTTTGTTCCTGTTGCTCTTAGTGTGATAATACGATACTGGTCGTGTAACTTCTCAAGGGAACCGTGGGTCTATGCCATACAGCTTGTGAATGTGAAATCCTATGTTGATACTTCTCAAGTCACCACTCTTTGGTTGCTTAACATGCCAAATGTACTTGCATGAATATTCAACATGTTATACCGTCGGATCTCTGCAGATATTCGGGTTAGGGATCCGATTTTTTTCTGCATTTTAACTACTATGTAGAGAAACATGCCAAAGCAAGGGAGTTTGGGGCTGCTGATTTCTGCTTCATGTCCTGTCTGCTGTCTCCATTATAGATCGTTTTTTTTCCCATCTTTTTTAGTGGAGGAGATCAATTGATCAGACGGAACCTAGCGAAGGCTAGAAGTATTCAAGGTTGAACAGATAGATACTTCATCCATCCCTCTGAAAATATACCTAATATAAGGTATAATCATTTTTTATCCATGTCTCGTTATATATAACTCTCCAATCATATTACTTTCATATTATTTGCATACATCGAGGTGACCTTACTGAAGAGACGATTAATTTCTTTTTTTTTAATTTATGTGTTAGTAGTGTTGTGCGTTATATTTTGGGATAGAGGGATTATCTATAGCTGCTTTAAAAAGAAAAACAGAGAAAAATGGGTTAATTTGATCCATGCAACTGCAAGAGTAAATTGCACCGCTAGTGTATCAACTTGATAAGTGGGTGCAATATGGTGTAAGAACTTGATAAATGAGCAATCTAGTGCAACAATTTGGTAGGTAGGTGCAATTTAGTATAAGAACTTTATAAGTGATCACATAAATACAACAACTTTGTAAGGTAGGTACGATTTTGATACAATAAATTAAGAAGTTATGTGGCAACTTTATTATTGGGTGCATATTTATATTGGTATCATAATAACTAGTAACTGAAAATCAATTAAACTGAATGTATAAATTATTATATTTAGTTGATATTTGAGAAGGTGAAGAAAACAAAAAATTCTTAAAAGGTAATTGGATGTAAATTATATGTGCAATATAATTCTTAAAGATTACATTCAATACTATAAGGTAATATCCGTAGGATTATGTAATGTTATATTGACATCGTGAAAAAAAAATCACCTAGCATATGCTTAGCCAAGTTAATGCACCAAAATACTACTTCCTCCGTTTTATGTTGTAAGACTTTCTAGTATTGCCCATATTATGTCTAGATTCATTAACATCTATATGAATGTGGACAATGCTAGAAAGTCTTACAATATGGAACGGAGGGAGTAAATTATCAAGTTCTTGTATTAGAACGCACCCACTTATCAAGTTGTTGCACTCGGACGTTCAATTCTCAACTTCTTGCACTATATCGCACCCACTTGCCAAGTTGGTGTACCATGGGTGCAATTTACTCCAATTGCAAATATGTCCATTTCAAATATATGCCATTACAATTCGTCTATTCGTAACCATGCTAATGAAATTATACAAAATTGAAATCGTGCCACTGCCGTCACATTTTCCATCAATCTCTTTTTTCCCGTTTTGTTTCTTCTTTCTTTCGTCTTCTTACCACACCAACGCATGGCGGGACCTCGGCGGCCCGGCACGCACGAATCCAATCCGATGAGTGGCGGGACCTCGGTGGCTCGACACGCACGCCGTCCAATGCACCGTGGTCTCAACCACATGCTCGTGGACGCGGTTGTCCATCACGATGACGATCTACAAGGAAGGGGATACGGGGAGAAGGGCATAGAGGAAGCGGGGCAGGCGGGGCAGAGGAGGTGAGTTATGCGGCAATGGAAGAGTTTCCCTGTCATTGATCCCGCCAGGGCTCCATCGCTGGTGGTGTCACCTCGCCTAAACTCTACCCATATCTTATGATAGAGAGAGCCCCCGGCTTTAACAGTGGAGGCGGCGGCAACGTAAAGAAGAGCAAAGATGGTGTACGACCGCCTCTTCGTGCCGCTCGCGAGACAGTGGGTAGGCGCCAGCCCCTCTCTCCCTCGTCGCGGTTGGCCTGAAGGGCTGCGCGAGCCTTCTCACGCACGGTACGGAGCAAAACAATGATTTTTTTAAGTTTAATAGAATGGTTCACTTTTAGTTTTTGAAAAATAAATTTAGGTTTTCTCTTGAAAATATTAGTTTTTTCACTTCCTATTTTCGGTTTAGAAAACTCAAAAATAAAAATTTAGAGGTGGATTATACACTTTTGTTGGTGATGCTCTTACGCTATTAGGGTGTGTTTGGATAATGGGAAAGAGGGTGGGATTAGAATTGAGAAATGAATGAAAGGTTATGATTAAATGGAAGAGGGTGAATGAACGGTTAGAATTTAAAGATATCTTTTGGTAGGTGAAAAATTATTTCCCATTAGCCAAACGCTGCCTTAGGTATTACAGTTCTAACCGCTCATATGCTCTATACTATATGTCTATATCCAACGGCCCTCCCCGATTTCCCCGAAACGCTACTACCCCTCCGCCACAGCGTCCACACCCGCGCCGCCGCCGCCCTCACCCTCGCCGCCGCGCATCCCGCGGTCCCACCGTCGCCGATTCCACCGCTGCCACGGACAACCCCGCCGCCCCTTTCCTTCCTCGCCGTGGGAGCGCCCCCCCCCTCCAGGTTGGCTAGCAGCTAGCTCCGCCGGCCGCCCTTCCCCGATGGGGGCAGCGGCGTAGGCGCCGCCATCAGCCGCCGTACGTATGTGAGCGGCGCCTGCGCACGCCTCCAGCTGGTCCGCGCGAGGTAACTGTGTGGGGTAAAATTCCTCTCTAGTCTTCGCTTTCGCCATATCGCATTTTCGAGAATACCTAATGCCGTAGTAAGCCATACGGGGGTCGTTTTATTGCTTTTATGCTTAAGTCACACACTTCGAGCAAGTCTATTGAATCTATACTCGGGTAGAAGTAATGCGCGCTCATCTCCAACGCCTATTTTGCAAAAGAAGAAGAAGAAGCAGAAGAGAGAAACAGTGGCTTTTGTACTACTCTTGCACATAGAACCCCTTCTCGACTTGCTATCAACAGTTGGTTTGAAACTTAGCATTTCTTTGTTATGCGCAGTTTTGCTGAACCAGATGCCGATGCAGTGACGATTCGTTGGCCGAGGATCGCGTTCTTATAGGCCCGATTTGCAAAGGTACTACTGCAGTGGCGGAGCTTGAGAGAGATTCTAGATGGGGCCAGCTATTATAGAGTGGAAATGTTGGTAATGGCAGAAGTAGAATTTGTAGAAGGGCTATTCATATTGTAAAATAATTTCCAAGCATGTTTTTGTTAAGAAAAAATATATGTTATACCTAAGTATAGCTGTTAAACAGGTGGAAAAGGATCACTCAAGTTATAAAAGACAACATATCAAAGTTATTGTAAATTAACAGGTTTTAAGAGAGCTATTTTATTAAGATAAAAATGTTTGTCATCCATAGGAGGAAAATGATTTAGTAAGCAATTAAACTGAAGAAAAAGAATGGACTTCTCAGGATTTGAACACCAAACTTCCAAGAAAGCATCTGCCCTCTTCACTTGCTAATCAATTGAGCAGAAAATAAATTTTCTTACTAGATACTTGTTAAGTATATATGTGTTTGCTGCCAAAGCTGAGGGGGCAACACCCAGGTTGGCCTCCATGAAGCTCCACCTCTGTACTATTAGCTGTTGTTGGAACTATATTGGTCGCATCAAGCTTCCGCCAATGTTTGCAGGGTTAAAATACTTGGTGGTCTGTCATGCTGTATGTTGATGTTATGCATTGCTTTTGGTACAACCGAGTTCCTTTTTCCTGACTGGTTCCATGGTTGGTTGAGATATGGATGCTATGTATTGTTCTTTAATGTTACACTTTAGCAAAATTTTCCCAGATTACGTAAGCAACTACTCCATCCATTTTATATTATAAGTCGTTTTGATTTTTTTCCTAGTCAAACTTTTTTTAAGTTGGACCAAGTTTATAGAAAAACATAATAGTATTTTAAACACATTATATTATCAAAATATATTCAATGTTAGATTTAATGAAACTAATTTGGTGTTTTAGATGTTGCTAATTTTTTCTAACTTATAATATGAAACGGAGGGAGTATTGATTACAAACATGATGGCTACTTCATTTGATTTTATTTAGCATTAGCTGTTTCAATCTTGGCAATTTACCATTTCCATCTGTTGTGTGGTTTTATTTATGTAGGAGTGCTTGTAAATCCAATCATACCATTTCGATTTTCATTTGACCAAGGATAGGCAAGAATAGGAGGAAAAAGGAGAGTGGCATATAATGACGGGTGGATCAGGTGTTGTGGTGCTAGACAATGGGGGTGGTCTTCTGAAGGCTGGATTTGGTGGGGACATGAATCCGACTGCTGTTGTCCCCAACTGTATGGCCAAGCCCCCTGGTTCCAAGAAATGGCTAGTTGCTGACCAGCTGCAGGCACAAGATGTTGATGTTACTGGCATGACATTGAGGCGTCCTATTGATCGTGGCTATCTCATCAATCAAGAAGTGCAACGGGAGGTGTGGGAGCGGGTTATACGCAACCTACTGCAGGTGGATCCTAACAACTCATCGTTGCTACTGGTGGAACCACAGTTCAACCCTCCAGCACTGCAGCATGCAACCGATGAGCTTGTTTTTGAGGAGCTTGGTTTCAAATCTCTTTGTGTTGCAGATGCCCCTTCCCTTGTTCACCTTTATGAGGCTAGCCGCCAGCCATCGCTGTTTCGAGCTCAATGTAGCCTTGTTGTTGACTGTGGCTTCTCTTTCACTCATGCATCTCCCGTGCTTCAAAACTTTACACTGAATTATGCTGTGCGGCGCATGGACCTTGGTGGAAAGGCCCTCACAAACTATCTCAAAGAGCTCATTTCATATCGCTCCCTTAATGTCATGGATGAAACACTCCTCATTGATGATGCAAAGGAAAAACTATGCTTTGTATCCCTTGATGTCCCTGGTGATCTTCGTCTTGCCAGGTCTGTTGCCATTCTCATCCCACCACATATGGATACATGCTTGCCTATTGTTTAGGGTTCAAATTTAACCTGATTTCAAGTTTATCTTCAAGGTCAAATGGTCCTTCACACAGAAAGTCCTGCTAAGAATGTTTTGCTTGTGTAACCAGCTTAATGAGATGTAGATAGCTTAGTATCTTATCTTTGGAACTTAGTGCTGTAGTTGACAAAGGTGGCTTTGTGTTTCATATGTATGTATGAAGGGTTGGTATTTCCTTTATTAGAAGCTAGATTTTGAAACTTTGAATTGCACTTCTGGGACAGCACAATCACTGATTGAGATGGTAATAGTTTTTCATTAAATAATTAGTTGGTCCACGTGTTGAATACAGTTGAGGTTTTTATCCATCTAAGTTTCAATTCTAAATAGTTTTTGTAGTGTCTTTCCTAGTATCTAAGTTACAAACATGCTATGCAATTATTTGCAGGTTATCATCTAATGACAACCCTTTTAGATGCTCCTACATTCTCCCTGATGGTATAACATACAAGAAAGGGTTTGTGAAGGACTTGGATGAGGCATGCAGATACAGCTCTCTGCCTGCTAATGGAGAATCGGTTAGAAAGGATAGTTCTGACAGCGATAGGAGCAAGTTTGAGGATAAGAAAAAGCCTGAACTTAGTCAAAATGTAACATCTCGAGCTATAATTACATGCTTAATATTATTTGGCATCATCTAACTGGGTTGTTCCTATTCAGGAATTTGTGTTGACCAATGAGAGGTTCCTAGTGCCAGAGATGCTTTTCCATCCAATTGATCTGGGTCAGCAGATCTACTAAAATGTCATGTGTACTTTGAGCTGTTCATTGTTGCTCTGTTAATCTCACTACTGTGCATGTTCATAGGTATGAATCAAGCTGGGCTTGCTGAGTGCATAGTTCGTGCTATACAAGCTTGCCACCCACATCTTCAACCTGTGCTTTTTGAGAGGTATCATTTATTTATTGTCTGAATTCTGAACCTATCTTGACATTTGAATATACATCCATGTTACTATGTGTTGGTTTGTTTCCACTCTCCAGAATTATCCTGACAGGAGGAAGCACGCTATTCCCTCGATTCACCGAAAGATTGTAAGTTGATCTTTTTATTATTTTTGTACATCAGAAATACCATCTCAAGGGGTGTGGGATTTATTGTTTGCTATTCACAGGGAAAAGGAACTTCGTCCTCTTGTGCCTGATGACTACCAAGTAAAGATAATTGCTCAGGAGGAGTATGTACCACTCTATCTCTTTTGCACACGTGCGCTGTTGGACATGTATAGTCACCAACTTACCATTAACATCCTGTTGCTTTGTCTAGCCCAATTCTTGGTGCCTGGAGAGGTGGATCTCTTTTGGCGCACAGGCCTGATTTTGAATCAATGTGCATTACAAAATCAGAGTATGAAGAGATGGGTTCAATGCGGTGCCGTCGTAGATTCTTTCACTGAAAGTTGTGTGCCAGCAGCTCAGTAGAAGTGCAATTTGTAAGTATGATTCAGCACTATCTAGTTCAGGTCTTGAAGAAATACTCATTAATTAGGCAAACGAGAAGTTTGGTTCTAGAAGGTAATGATGCACAATTTTAACACGTGGTCATTTTTTTACATAGGAATTAGAAGCTATTACTCCATGTATCTGGTCCCCCTTATTACTGGCAACCAATTCTTTCAGCCTTCCTACCAGCTAAATATGCAGATATAGTCCTTACCAGGGAAAACCTTTGTGGTCTAACACCCTCGGAACACAGTTGCTCTGAGATAAATGGTGAATTTTGCTTTTCTGCTCGGTGAAAAGTTTTCTTAATTTTTTTCCGAGTAAACAGCGTGCATGGAAATATTTTATTAGTCATTTACTCTGGCAATACCTGACCTGTGTACGCCACACAGAGCTTTAGTTTAGAAACAACAGTATGCATGATCGTCTTTTAGAAGCATAAATATTAGTATGTTAGTTTGTATATTCAGTCTCTGGAATTTTCGAGTCTTCTGTCCACCTTTGAGCTGAAAATGACCTTGCTGATCGTGTGATTGGCTTGAATGGTATATTAACTATTGCTAGTACGCTGAGCCTATGAGATATGCACCTATTCACTTGTGAGATATCCTCTAAAAATGTCTTTGTTCAAAAAAAAAAATCCTCTAGTGTTTACTGAAATGCACTTATGTCATCAAAATTTTACGAGCAACATTGCTGGCACTTCACGTAGCAAACTAGCAATGATTTCCAGATAAGAGTCACAAAGGAACAACACACACACACACACACACACACACACTCCGACTGCTGATACAGAATCTTACAGATGTCACCAGCAAGAGTTCAGCCACAAGAACAGAACCACTAGTACGTAGATAACAAGTGCAGCGACATGCATGGTAACAATTGAATTGCCAACTCTCAGATAACACCAGGACTCCCCTCAGGCAACCATGGTTACCTTCTTCATCCCTCATCCCTCAACCTTGTCGCAGGTGTCTCTCAGGCGTATCTTCGGACCTCAGGATCCAGTACTTCTCCATGGGATGATGGGAATGACCTCCTGAGCCTTCAGAATTTTGTGCAATGTTCCTAGGATAGAAGTCGGATGTATTCCTTACCATCGAAACTGCACAGTTTATGAAACCAAAATTACATGTCTTTTCTAGATAATCGATTAATTAGCGTATAAAACTCGAATACATGTAGAACTGATTGGTGCATAAAAGAGGGTCAGTTATGTACATACCCAGTCGCTAGCAATGTATCAGCTGGACAATTCAGAGTCCATCTCCATTGGTCGATCTCCCCTGTAAACTCTCGGCTTGTTAGGATGCTTCTTGCACACAGCTACCATGCTCTCCACCACGGAGTCGACGATGACATGGCCAAAGAACTCAACCTCCTTGAGCCTTGGGAGCTTGTCAATGCCGGAGATGCCATCTGCAGGCTCCTTGAGGACGGCGAGCGTGAGCCTCTCAAGCTCGGGGGCGCCTCCTTGGAAGCTAAGCTCATCAAGGTTGGGCATATTGTCCACGATCAGCTGCTTGAGCCTCGGGAATAGCTTCTCCCGGAAGTGGAGCTCTCTCCCCATATATGACTGGTAGTAGAGCTTGAGGGAGAGGAGGCTAGGGAGCTTGCCTAGCTGCTCGATGACCTCCTTGCCATCAAGGAAGTTCTCTCGGAGCGAGAGGTCGACCAGATTGCCGAGGTGTGAGACCCAAGGAGGCAACATGCTAAGCTTGCCCCAGAGGAAGAACTTCTCGAGGAAGATGGGTGGCGAGTCTAGATCTAGGAGTTCCTCGAGGCCAGCGTCCTCATTTAACCAGTGGAGGATAGACAAGCTGCGGAGGGAGTAGCTGAGTTTGTTGAGGGACACAATGAATGGCTTCCATTTGTTAGGCCCCTTTTCACAGTTCATGACGCAGAGCTTGGTTAGGCTAGGTAGGTCACCCAACTCGCCCATGGCGATGCCGCTCGACGTGACGTTGGCATGGGCAATGGTTTGGAGGGACTCCATGGCGCTCAAGCCAGGTGGTATTGTCATGGCCTCAAATGGCTCAAAGAGCTTGACACGGTGGCTCCTTGTGTAGTATCTGTACCTGCCTGATAGAAGATGCCTCATGTGTCCTAGCCGGGTGATCGTCTCCGGCAACTCCCTCACATCGGTTTCCCTGACGTCCAGTGTCATGAGCTGTTTCAGTCTCCCGACCGACCGTGGCAGCCGCTGCACGCCTGTGTCCCTAAGGCTTAGGTACCTCAAGAGGGAGAGCTTGCAGATGTCGTCCAATTCACGGCTGCTTAGCCAACGACAACCTTCGAGATCCAGCACCCTGAGGAGCTTTAGGCGCTTGAAGCTAATTGATGGCAGTGGTTTCTCGATGCACCGGAGCATCAACAGCGAGCGGGCGCAAGACAAGTCTACGGACGACAAGACGTCGTCCTGACCCTCGCCCTCGCCCTTCTTCCTTCTCCTCCTAAACCTAAAGATATCCTCATCACCACCACCACTCCTAGATTGTTGCCCCTGCGGCATGTGGGAGCCATGGACAGATAGCCGCCGGATCTTGTCATGCCCAGTCGTCGTAGCCGCGGTATGTTGGTGACGCCCGTAGCTGGTCACGCTCCCCAACAAGGAGATGAAGTTCTCCTCCACGCACTTGGCCGTCATCACCTCCAGCATGATGTCGTGCACCTTACAACACCTAACCACGCCATTGGTGGCGACCCGAGTGGGTGTGACGATGCTCCTGCCAACGAACTCGTCTATGTACTTGCCGGCGGCCTCCTCGGGGGTCCACTCCCGCCCACCGCCAACGAACCCCTCGGCGGCCCATCGCCGCACCAGGGGCCCCCGCTTGATCTCGTACCCCTCGCGGAAGACGCTGAGGTAGAGGAAGCAAGCCTTGAGGTGGTAGGGCAGGTCGTGGTAGCTCAGCGACAGTATCCGCCTCATCCCCCTCACCGCCGCGCTCGTGCTCAGCCCGGAGCCCAGCTTGCCGCACACCTTCGTCCACTCCACCGGCGTCTTGTTCTCCGCCTGGGCCAGCATTCCTCCCACACTGACTATGGCCAGCGGCAGGCCGCCGCATTTGGTCAAGATGTCACCGGAGATGCCCTCCAGGCTTCGGTACTCCGACGGGCAATGCTCCTTCTGGAACACCGTCTTGAAGAACAGCTCTCTGGACTGATCGTTTGGCAGAACATCCATGAAGTGAACGCGATCGCCGGGAAGCGAGCAGCAGCTCTCAGCAACCTGACGGTTCCTTGTAGTGATTATTATTCGACTATGCTTGTCATTGTCGGGAAAGGCTGGCTTCAAGCTTGCCCAGTCCTCCAGACTCCATAAGTCGTCAACAACAATAAAGTATCTGCACATGAAAAGGAATGCATTACATATTCATACTTAATACTTATAATATTGTGATTTTTACGGTTTCTGAAGAGATCCTGAAAGGCACCTTCTTTGTCTGATGTTAGTTAATTTATAGCACCTCCAGATTTCTTAACACTAGCAAGATACCGATGGAAACCAAATCTACACTAGGAATTGTGTGATATCTCCTACTAGTTGCTCATGGATAGTAAAAGATTCTCAAAATATTTGACAAAGTTCTGACATCCCCTAAGTGATTAGAATCCAACCTCCTAATAACTACTATAATAGTTTTCGACGACTATTTCCTCATCTAAACTACTACTTCCTCCATTTCAAAATGTTTGACACCGTTGATATTTTAGCACATGTTTGACCGTTCGTCTTATTAAAAAAAATTGTGAAATATATAAAACTATATGTTCACATGAAAGTATATTTAACAATGAATCAAATGATATGAAAAGAATAAATAATTACTTAAATTTTTTGAATAAGACGAATGGTCAAACACGTATTAAAAAGTCAACGGTGTTAAACATTTTGAAACGGAGGGAGTATAAGATAGAGGGTGTATGCGTTATCAAAATTTGAAAAGATGAAACTGTCTGAATGTAATTTTGGCAACAAAACAATCAACCAACCAAAAGCATTTTCAGTTGAAAATTAAGTAGGCAGAGACAGAGACAATAATATACCTCTTGTCGCTCAGATGAGTACTGCAATGGGCGAGGAGTTGGGGAATGTCCTTGGTTTCGATGCCTCTGAGTATTTCATCCTTTTCCATGGCCATGATCTCCTTCCTGGAGCAGCGTGGATCTCGCGCCGGCGCGAACAGCTGCTCCAGCAGCGACTCCAGCATGGCGCGAAGGTTGCAGCTCCGGGTCACCGTCACGAACGCCCTGTGATGGATCCCCTGCACCGCCGGGCTCTTGTACACCATCGCCGCCAGCGTCGTCTTGCCCAGGCCGCCGAAGCCGACGACGGCGACCACCTTCCGGCGAGCCAAGCCGTCGTCGTCGCCGTCGTCCTTGTGTTCCAGCAGCTTGAGGATGGCTCTGGTCTTGCTGCGGACGCCGACGAGGCGGGACTCGTCGACGCTGAGCGCCGGAAGGCGACGGTCGAGGTCGTCGTAGCAGCGGGGCGCGTACTCGCCGGAGCTCGACGCCGCGGCGGGCGGCTCCAGCCTGTACCTGAGCCTCCGCTCGCTGACCTTGAGCGCGCGGGCCTTGAGGCTCTGGACCTCCACGGCCAGCTTGTACATCGCCCGCAGCGTCGTCAGCGGCCGGAGCGCCGTCCTGCGCAGCCAGCCGGCGACGACGAGGAGGCCCTCGTCGTGGTTCCGGTCGCCGCCGACGTGGTACCGGAAACTGTCGATGCAGTCCTCCGCGTCGTACGCCACCTCCCTCACCTGCTTCATCCACGTCCTAGTCTGCAACCCAAAAAAAACCTATGATTCATCATTTCAAGAACACGAAGAACCAATTGCGTTGTATAAAAAAACTCTTTTCTTTTTCTAATATGTTGACGTGCAATACTTTTTAGCGTTCGCGAAAAAGAAAAAACAAGGCGCGACGCCACGGCGAGGGGCTGACCTGCTGGGACTGGTGGTAGTCGCCGACGGCGGCGAGGTCGCGGAGGCAGGCGTTCATGCTCTCGAGGTCGTCCTTGAGCTCCTGGATCTCGTGGCGGACGCCGCTGAGGAGGACGTACTTGTCGGAGAGGAATTCGCCGAGCTTGGCCAGGAGGATGCGCACCACGCCCTCGGTCGAGCTCACCACGGCGGCTTCCATGGTCAATTGCCGCAGCTACCGCAACCCGAGTGTAGAGTCAATCAGCTGGCCTCTTCGAATCACAATTTTATATACCGTTTTCCTGGGCTCAGCGCCTGAGCAACTTCAGCTAAACTCTGACACTGATGGGTGCTCTTATAGTTTGGTACAATAGCAGACTATAAGCCAACTATAAATATATTTTAAAACGATAAAAGAAAAGATGTAAGAATAGCGGGCTACAGATCTGTAGCCAGCTGCAACATGAACTCAAGATACATGTGTGTATGACAGGTGATACCAAAGGTTAATTATGTAGTATATGTGTATATGTAACTATTGTATAAATTGGCTATTAAATTGATTATAGATGATTTAAAGCCAATAATTGACTATACTATTATACTTGCTCTTAGAGCAAGGCTAATAATACAACCAACTGCTTACTGTACAGATCCTTATAGCCTATCTCTCAGCTCACTCATATGGTGGTTAACTCTTCACTATAAATATATGGTCCACCTGTCTGTCTCACAAATTTTCTTGGTTTCTGTGCCTAAGCCGGCTGCAAACTTACAGCTCGCTTATCATCTCTCCTCTCCTCTCTCATCCACATCAGCATTCAGCCTTTTTATAGCCCTATATTATACTTGCTCTTATGCAATCTGTACTTTGTTACTACCTATGTCCTAGAATTTAGCAACCTAGGATGACGAATTTAGACAGAATGTAGCAATCTGATGGATGTTCTAGGATGAGTCTCATATTATGTCCAGATTTTTTTTTATTTTAGAATAGGCCTCATCATATTTTAGATTGCTACATTTTAGGACGAAGGGACGGAGGGAGTAACATCTATATGGTAGTATGGACATATGGTTGTGGCACCTCATATGTCTATTATGCTTCATGTACCCTGTTTGAGCAGCTTATAGTAGCTGTAGTTTTATTCAGCATCTTTAGCTCATTCAAACAATAGACTATTGTTAACCAAATTCTAAAAAATATAGTTATTGGACTCATGGAATAAATTAAATGTTAGAAGTTAGTAGACCCAGCCTTCTTATATTCTCGAAACATTAAGTTCACAAACATGCCCTTTAAATATCGACACCAAGCGGTGGCATGTATTTTAAGGGAAGAGTGAAGTGTGTGCATATATCTAAAGTTTTTAAAATAATCTCCCTAGCCAGCTCGAGTTAATTTAATTTTGTTTTGTTTCTTACAGATGGAATCATGTTGACCGAGATAGCTGTAGTTTCATACAGCTGGAATATTACTTTTATTACCTCTTTATGTGATATCAACATAACTTACCATGCATATTTATTATTATTTTTTGTACTCATATTCTTATTTAATTTAAATTATCAAAATATGTCTATACACAAGTAATTTTTAATGATAAGTCTATCAATTTCATTTCTCCCATACCAAACTATATTATTTTCAATATGTTAGCAAAATATTTGGAGATTTGACTATTCATGCATATTTAAAGTATCACCTGTTTAAGAATAAAGAGTGCCGAAAAAAACATATATAGTATTTGTGATGGCGATCACAATATCTAATATTCATCGGGGTTGTTGGATCAGCCATCATGTGAGAAGTTAGTTGTCCAAAGGAAGTTTCAACAAACAATACTACTGTCAGTCTTACAAATATAATATAGGAATCCTTGGTTTATAAATTATAAGTACTATTTCCAGAGTGCCTTAAAATATGATGTCTTTTGAGAGTTCCGCTTAATAATCCTGCCACGAGAACATTTTGAGCCTGTTTGGTAGAGTTCCAACTTACAAATTTAGCTTTAGTAGTTAGTCTAGAATGGAGTTGTGGAGTTGGTTAAATCTAGATCCACCTCTCTAGTTCATTGTGTGAGAGAGCTACACCCAGTTTCGCTCCCATTTTAGGTGAAGCTGAAATTGTTCGGTTGAGCTCTAGCTCGATGGAGCTGGAGCTATGCTAAATAGGTCCTATGTTTTATACCTGGAAACTGTGAGCAACTATTGGTGTAGGGATGAGTGTAATATTAAATGCCCACTTCTATTGGATGTAGGGATGAGTGTAATATTAAATGTTCACTTCTCTAGTTTATTTTTCAGATTACTCTCATCCGTCACACTTCTTTTAGATGGATCTGAAACCGTTTGATTAAGCTCTAACTCAAGCGGATGTGAAGTAAGAGCAAGAGCCCTACAAAACAGGTCCAAGCTCTCGAGGGCATGTCCTTATAGTACATACTATAAGCTCTTAAGTTTCGTAATTTTATTAATAATAAGATTGATAAGTATAAAAAATTTAACGGCGTTAAATACTAAAAATCGGAGGGAGAGCAAGTTTGGTGATATCTCAATGATATGTAGATCACATTTAAGATAGAGTATTATCTCAGGGTTGAATCAAACATGCCCTTAGTTCATTTGCATAGTTTTGTACTAGTAATCATTGGGGGTGTTTGATGTGTCATGTGTGAGTGCGAAAACTTCTCCGTGGTACCCATGCAGCACCTGAGCAGCTGACCGGCCTCGATCAATGCGTAATTAAGCCTGCTCTAACAACAATTTGAGCTCTGACTTAGTGTGAAAATAGTAGACTTGGCCTTAGACTTGGTATGAAATTTCCAGGGTAGGATTTGTTCCACATAAAATTCACTTGGTGTGTCGAACTGCTCCCAAATATATGTGTGGTCAAAACCGTGCTGTCTCAATACCCATTGTCATCAGGACACAAACTGTTGGTCTTCTGGTATGAAAAGCAATCAAGCGTGTCTTGACTTAATGACTTGCCAGAGATTCATTATACGTAGCCACGTATGGATATCTACCGAAGGAGACTTGTGTTAGATGCTTCACGGAAATTAAGCTAGGATTATAGATACTGATCCCATTGAACATTGGCATTGTCACAACAAATTAATAACAGAACAACAGAGGTGGCCCAGGTGTGGGGATCACATTGTAATAACAAAGTGGGTTGGTTTTAGGTACCTTCTACCTTCCTTCAAACAATTCTAATTTGGTGAATCTCTATCATCAATGGCAATTCTTTTTATGAGGTGGGTTAGAGAGAAGCATAAAAGTACACACACATATGCAAAGCAAATAAAATGCAAAGTAAATTAAACTTTGCGGTTAACTTATGCAAATTTAGACTTTATATGCATGATCGATGCACAATTTAGAAGAGACGTGGAGACTATAAACAAAAGATAAAATATATAGTAAAACATTTCAAAATATTATTGGTACAAGAAATTAAGTTACAAAGATTGAACTTTGAATTGACAAAAAAAAAAATGATTCAGTCAATAAAATGTCTTTGCTCATTTTCCTAACACCTTGGGATCCATCTATCGATACGATGATTCGTATAGTCATTCTGTATTTATGGGACTTACCTCCATGAAACGGAATTTAAAAAAAACATGCATGTTATTTTTGGGCATCAGAACGGTTGTAAAATACTAAAATAGTACAACTTTGACCGCTACTTTTCATAACATGATAAAATGGTAGCAATATGAAAGTAGGTTTCCAAGAAATTTACTCATACGATTTTTATTCATCCATTCTAAATAATTATAAATATATTGTTGTTCAAACTTTTTAAAGTTTGAATTGAAGTACTCCCTCCGTACTCGTAAAGGAAGTCGTTTTGGACAGCGACACGGTCTCCAAAATACAATTTTGACTTCTTGTTTCTATAAAAGTATTTATTGAAAAATGATATATGTATACTTTTGTGAAAATATTTTTCAAGACAAATCTATTCATATAATTTTTACATTTTCAAACTCAACAACTTAAGAGTTATTCATGATTTATATTCCCAAGGTTTGACTTAAACATTATCTTAAACGACTTACTTTATGAGTACGGAGTAAGTATGTTCTAAAATGTCTGAAACAACATAGTTTCGTTACTTGAGAGAGTACTACACAACACTCTCATGAGAGATCTCGTATTATAAGGCGAAAAATAGTACTAACCATGAACCAATCATTCCCATATTTTTAAGAGTAATGACAGTGTAATGTATTGATTGATACTCCTACATCCTTGGTACCCCAACTTATCACATGATGGCTGATCCAACAACCCCAATAAAAATTACTACTAATTGAACCTGTAAAATAATTTGAATATTTTTTTTGACACGAATTATTTGAATAAATTGTTAGTGAAGTACAGTATCCCAGTTGAACAGCATCTATCAGTCTTATCACTTCAGTGTTTGAGCTCAACCAATTCGGCGCGGATCGTCTGTATAAATTCCTACCAGAAGAAGCCAAGAGCTCATCGACCAAACTTACACTGCGCTAGGAAGCCATGGAGGCCGCCGTGGTGAGCTCCACCGAGGGCGTGGTGCACATCCTCCTCGGCAAGCTCGGCGAATTCCTCTCCGACAAGTACGTCCTCCTCAGCGGCGTCCGCCACGAGATCCAGGAGCTCAAGGACGACCTCGAGAGCATGAACGCCTGCCTCCGCGACCTCGCCGCCGCCGGCGACTACCACCAGACCCAGCAGGTCAGCCCCTCGCCGTGGCGTCGCCCCTTATTTTTTTCTTTTTAACGAACACTAAAAAGAATTACACGTTAATATATTATAACGAAAATAGTTTTTGTTATACAACGCAATCGGTTGTGCGCTTTCGTGTTCTTGACACGATGAATCTTTTTTTTTTTTGCAGACGAGGACGTGGATGAAGCAGGTGAGGGAGGTGGCGTACGACGCGGAGGACTGCATCGACAGCTTCCGGTACCACGTCGGCGGCGACCGGTACCGCGACGAGGACCTCGCCGGCTGGCTGCGCAGGACGGTGCTCCGGCCGCTGACGACGCTGCGGGCGATGTACAAGCTGGCCGTGGAGGTCCAGAGCCTCAAGGCCCGCGCGCTCATGGTCAGCGAGCGGAGGCTGCGTTACAAGCTGGAGCCGCCCGCCGCGGCGTCGAGCTCCGGCGAGTACGCGCCCCGCTGCTACGACGACCTCGACCGCCGTCTTCCGGCACTCAGCGTCGACGAGTCTCGTCGGCGTCCGCAGCAAGACCAGAGCCGTCCTCAAGCTGCTGGACATGGTCGGCGACGACGACGGCTCGGCCCGCCGGAAGGTGGTGTCCATCGTCGGCTTCGGCGGCCTAGGCAAGACGACGCTGGCGGCGATGGTGTACAAGAGCCCCGCGGTGCGGGGCATCCAGCACAGGGCATTCGTGACGGTGACCCGGAGCTGCAACCTTCGAGCTCTGCTGGAATCGTTGGTGGAGCAGCTCTTCGCGCCAATGCGAGATTCACGCTGCTCCACGAAGAAGACGACCACGGATCACGACGAATACTCAGAGGCATCGAAACCAAGGACATTCCCCAACTCCTCGCCCATTGCAGCACTCATTTGAGAGACAAGAGGTACTTACTACTTGGCACGCATGTTGCTCACCAAAACTGAAATTCTATTGCTTGGTTAATTGGGTACTGCTATTTGACGCATCACGTACGCGTGTGCGTTTCCTAGCACACACTTTTTTTTCCCTAAAAACTTTTATCTCAAAAACTTTATTCGAAAAACAAATTTTTATCTAAAACTTTCATAGAAAAACTTTTATATGAAAAAGTGTACGCTAGTAAAACACACGTGCACCAAATAGCAATCATGTGGTTAATTTGCCATCAAATTTGCTTTGAAATAGTTATATTCTTTTTATAAAATTTTAATAAATAGTTATATATAATTTAAAATTCAAAAGAACATATGTGGTCGCTTAGATGAAAAGAAAAGAAAAGAAAAGAAAGATGCAAACCATTGTTATTGATTACCATCGAAAGTTGTAAATTAAAATGTACTTGCCAGTTGTGTGGATATGCTTCTTGTAGTTCGGATTTGAGAGGATGTAGTTGTCGGAGGCTTGGTTTTTTAAGGAAGGATTAGCTTAGCTAGTGTTTTTATAAGCATGGACGATGTGTGATGGTCTCTTTTTATTGTGCAGGTACTTTGTAGTTGTTGATGATGTATGGAGTCTAGAGGACTGGGCAAGCTTGAAGCCAGCTTTCCCAGACAATGATATACACAGTAGAGTAGTTATCACTACGCGGAATCGTCAAGTTGCTGAGAGCTGCTGCTCCCTTCCCGTCGATCGAGTTTACTCCATGGATGTTTTACAAGATGATCAGTCGAGAAAGTTGTTCTTCAACACGGTGTTTCGGTCGAACAAGTGTCCCGCGGGGTATCGGAGATTGGAGACCATCTCCGGCAACATCTTGGCCAAATGCGGTGGCTTGCCACTGGCCATAGTCAGTGTCGGGGGAATGCTGGCTCAGGCGGAGAACAAGACACCGGCGGAGTGGATGAAGGTGTGCGATAGGCTAGGATCTAGGCTGAGCACAAGCGCAATGATGGAAAGGATGAGGCGGATAATGTCACTTAGCTACCATGACCTGCTCTACCATTTGAAGGCTTGCTTCCTCTACCTGAGCGTCTTCCGTGAGGGGTATGAGATCAAGAGGGGGCCATTGGTGCGGCGGTGGGCTGCCGAGGGGTTCGTTGGCGGCAGACGTGAGTGCACACCTGAGGAGGCCGCTGGCAAGTACCTGGACGAGTTCGTCGGCAGGAGCATAGTCACGCCTACAAGGGTTGTCAGCAATGGTGTCGTCAGGTGTTGTAAGGTCCACGACATCATGCTGGAGATGATGACAGAAAAGTGCATGGAGGAAAACTTCATCTCCTTGCTAGGAAGCCCGAGCAAGCATGGCCACCAGCAGCATGCCATGATGGTGGCAGCTGGGCACGACAAGATCCGACGGCTCTCTGTCCATGGCGCGCACACGTCTCAGGGGAAACAAGCTGGTGGTGTTCATGACAAGCATCTTTGTAGGAGGAGGATAAAGAAGGATGAGGAACAAGACGACGTCTTGTCGTCTGGAGACTTGTCTTGTGTCCGCTCACTTCTAATGCTCCGGTGCATCGAGAAACCAATACCGGTAATCAGTTTCGCAAAGCTAAAGCTCATTCGTGTACTAGACCTCGAAGGTTGTCGTTGGTTGAGCAACCATGACTTGGAAGACATTTGTAAGTTGTCTCTCTTGAGGTATCTCAGCCTTAGAGACACCGGTGTGCAGCGGCTCCCACGGTTGATCGGGAGGCTAAAAGAGCTTCTAACACTGGACATCAGGGAAACTGACGTGAGGGCACTACCAGAGACAATCACCCGGTTGGGACGCCTAAGGCATCTACTCGCCGGCAGGTACAGGTACTACACGAGGAGCCATCGTGTCAAGCTCTTCGAGCCGTTCGAGGCTGTGACAATACCACCTGGTCTGGCCGCCATGGGATCCCTCCAGACCATTGCCCATGCCAACATCGCGTCAAGCTCCATTGCCATGGGTGAGCTCGGTGACCTGCCTGGCCTAACCAAGCTATGTGTCATGAACTGCGAGGAAGGGCCTAGCAAATGGGAGCCATTCGTTATCTCCCTCAATAAGCTCAGTTACTCCCTCCGCAGCCTGTCCATCCTTCATTGGCAGTATGACAATGCCGGTCTCGAGGCCCTCCTAGATCTCACTTCACCACCAATCTTCCTCGAGAAGTTCTTCCTTTGGGGTAAGCTCAGCACATTGCCTTCCTGGGTCTCACACCTCAGCAACCTTGTTGACCTCTGTCTTCGGGAGAACTTCCTCAATGGTGAGGTCATCATTGAGCAGCTAGGCAAGCTCCCCAGCCTCCTCTCCCTCAAGCTCTACCGCGCGTCATACCTAGGGAGAGAGCTCCGCTTCCGGGAGAAGCTATTCCCAAGGCTAAAGCAACTCATCGTGGACAATCTACCCAACATTGAGGAGCTCAGCTTCCAAGGAGGCGCCCCTCAGCTTGAGAGGCTCACGCTTGCTGTCCTCAAGAAGCCTGAGGATGGCATTTTCGGCATTGATAAGCTCCCAATGCTCAAGGAGGTTGAGTTCTACGGCCATATCATGATCGATTCTGTGGTGGCAGAGATGGTAGCTGTGTGCAGAAATCATCCGAACAAGCCTAGAGTTTACAGGGAGGATCGACCAATGGAGATGGACTCTGAATCATCCAACTGATACTCTGCTACCAACTGAGTATGTACATTTGTCCCTCTAACATGCATTAATCTGTTCAATATAAATTGAGTTTATCATGCACAAATATCACTACACGTGTAACTTTGGTCTTGTGAAGTGTATATTTCTTATCACAAGTGACACATTCGGTTTCTATACTTGATCATAGGAAACAAATTCTGAAGGCTAAGATTTCATTACCTTGGGAACTACTGACTTGAAGATATGCCAGAGATGCATCTGCACCAAGGATGAAGATGAAGATGGTAATAATTAGGGTTGCTTGAGGGCAGGCTTTTTATCATTGATATCAAAGTTGTGCTTTTACTCTATTTGGACTGTTGACGTTTGCTATTAGTGTCTAGAATGCATTACAATTATTGATATGTAGCCACTTTGTTATATGGTTCTTAATTATCTTGTGTCCAAACTCTTGCTGGCATGTATAGTTTTATATCTACTGTTGGAATTTGTGTGTACTACAGCTAGTTTTTCTTTTACGGATTTACCTGGTATCAATACTATGTGAATCATTAATCATGTTAATATGTTACCCATGAATATTTGAACTCGTGTTTTGTTGTTCCTAAGAAATTGACAACATAACTAACAAAGGGATTCGTGGTACTCGCATCGTTCTATTTTACTTGCCGTTGAGAACATCGATACAATCTATACTACACATTTTGATATTGTATATATTTCATAAATTCATTATAAGTTTAACTATATGAAAATATTTTTCATGACAAATCTAGTAATGCTATTGTGACATATAAAATCGTAACAATACCTTTTACTAACATCATAGTGAGTTAAATTTGAGTTCCGACTTTATGTGTTCTATCTAAAACATCATTTGTTTGACGATAGACAAAGCACATAAACATATAAGGACATTTTTAAGGTTCACATATTAGTTGGCTTCTTTTAATCCAGTGGTAAAACAATCTATTACTATGTACTAGGTGAGCAACCATTGCCAGTCTCAAGAAAACTAGTAAAAAAAAGCAAGTGGTTGGTTATAAAAACCTAGTTGGATCACATGTTTTACGCTAGATCCATACCACCACCCCATTTCCTGTTTTTTGGTTTCGTTGCAACATAGGAGAGCATATGCTAGTAGTAAAGAGAAAATAAAAAAAGGAGTAAAAAAATTGAACTCAGGCTTGGTGTGGTGCGAAAATAGCATACTTGACCTTAGATTTGGTGGCCAACTGCCCACATATATATGTGGTCATTGGTCAACTTCATAGCTCAATATATAGCCATTCCCATCAGGACGAACTTAATCATATTGGTCTTCTGGTATGAAATGCAATCAAGGGCGTCTTTACTTAATCAATAGTTCAATTCGCCATGATCCATTATTATATCTGATCTGATTGTTTCAGATTTCTCATGTACAATAGACAATGGGGGAGTAGATCTAGTCACAACACAATGAAGTTGACACAGACAAACAATATGTTTTGGGGTTGGCCATAGGTATCTTTCACCATAAAAAAATGTAATTTGGTGAATCTCTATTAGTGTCGAAGAAAAAACATTTATGAAGTAGTCTAAGAAAGCAGAAGAAAATACACTATACATTTAGGTCGATAATTCGTATACAAAGCAAAGCCAGTTAAAAAGCAACACAAATTTAAAGGACGAACTTGCGGATATATACATGTGTAGACGTGGGTGTTTGTGTGCGTCTTCCATGTAATCATTACATGGGAGAAAATATCAAACTATGCATTGTGCAAATTTGTTGTGTGACATTACAAAATTCAACCAAGAAAAAACATATCAAAACCATTCAAAACATTATTGATATGAAATTACAAATGGCTGAACTTTGAAGCATTCAATGACAAAATATGACTCGTAGTCAACAAAATTTCTTTACTCATTTTGCTGTTGAGCTTATCCTGCAGTCTGCAGTGTATATAAGCAAGCTCTAGCTACACACAGAGAGGATCCCGCCGGCGAGGTCTCCGCAGCCATGGAAGCTAGCCGTGGTGGTGAGCTCGACGGAGGGCGTGGTGCGCATCCTCCTGGCCAAGCTCGGCGACTTCTTCTCCGACAAGTACGTCCTCCTCACCGCCGTCCCGCCACGAGATACAGGAGCTCAAGGACGACCTCGAGAGCATGAACGCCTGCCTCCGCGACCTCGCCGCCGCCGGCGACGACGACCAGACCCAGCAGGTCATCTCCCTCGCCGCGGCGTCGCGCTTCGTGCGCCTTCGTGTTCTTGAAATGATGAATCATATATCTTTTGTTGTTGCAGACGAGGACGTGGATGAAGCAGGTGAGGGAGGCGTGGCGTACAACGCGGAGGACTGCATCGACGGCTTCTGGCACCACCGCGGCCGCCATTACCGCGGCGATGAGGGCCTCGTCGCCGGCTGGCTACGGAGGACGGTGATCCAGCCGCTCGAGACCTTGCGAGCGATGCACAAGCTGGCCCTGGATGTCCAGAGCCTCAAGGCCCGCGCGCTCAAGGTCAGCGAGCGGAGGCTGCGTTACAAGCTGGAGCCACCGGCGACGGCGACGGCGGCGTGGACGGTGCCGAGCTACGACGACCTCGACCGCCGGCTGCCGGCGCTCAACATGGACGAGTCCCGCGGTCCCGCCTCGTGGGCGTCCGCAGCAAGACGAAAGCCATCCTCAAGCTGCTGGAGGACGGTGGTGATCATGGCGGCGACGACAACCCGGCGCCGGCTCGCCGGAAGGTGGTCGATCTCCATCGTTGGCTTCGGCGGCCTGGGCAAGACGACGCTGGCGGCGACGGTGTACAACAGCCCGATCGACGGTGCAGGGGATCCAGCACCGGGCGTTCGTGACGGTGTCCCGGAACTGCGACCTCCGCGCGCTGCTGGAGTCGTTGCTGAAGCAGCTCGTCGAGACGCCATTGATGAGAGATCCGCGCAAATGTTGCGGCCAGGAAACGGCCGCCGGCGACGGCGACCATGACCCGCTCAGAGGAATCGAGACCCTGGGACGTACCCCAACTCATCACCCACACCCAGTGCAGCTTTCAATTGAACGGCAAAAGGTACTCCTTTCTACGCACTTGCTTAATTTTAATTACTTCTCTCTTTCTCTCAAAGTAACGAATCATGTATGTACATATTTAAATTTAGGATTGGTTTCTTTTTAGACAGATGGAGTACTCCCCTCGGCCAAAAATGTTTGAGGTAGCTTTTTTTCTTATCATGTGGAAATGGTTTTTTTTTTATCTCAACATCATTTCCATGTCATTTCATATTTCTTAATTTTAATGCCATACTGCTAGATAAAGAAATAGCAAAAAAAATGTTATTATAAATAACATAGCATAAAAAGTCAGGTAGACGTCTGTGGAGTGTGGAGTGTGGACCAACATCAATAGAAAGATTGTGACATCCAAGAGCAGCCCAATCGTTTGCCTTTTGGCCCCAAAATTTAAATTTTTACAAGTTATTTTTAAGTTGATTTTGAGTTTTTTTATCATAATTTATTTTTTAGCATTGACTTTTAAATCACTTAAAAGTTTTTGCCCATAAATTAGTTTTTGATTTCTGTCTATAGACATCAAGATACATGAAGAGTTGATCATGGAGCAGCTAGGGAGGCTCCCCAGCCTTCTCTCCCTCAAGCTATACCATCAGTCATACATGGGGAGAGAGAGCTCTGTATTCCAGAAAACCTATTCCGTAGGCTCAAGCATCTCATCGTGGACAACTTACCCAACCTTGATGAGCTCAGCTTCCAGGGAGGCGCTCCTGAGCTTGGGAGGCTCACGCTGCCCTTCCTCAAGGAGCCTGCAGATGGCATCGTTGGCATCGATAAACTCCTAAGGTTGAAGGAGGTTGAGTTCTTTGGCCATACTACTGTCGACTCCGTGGTGGAGGGGATGGTAGACGTGTATAAGGCACATCCAAATCGGCCAAGAGTTTACAGGAATGACCGACCTATGGAGGACTCTGAGTCATCTAGCTGATCGTCAGGAACGGATGAAGTACACATATTTGCTCCTCGATCTAACTGTCAATCGGTTTCATCCTACTACATGCATCTTCTGGCTTGCTCTACTACTGGAGCTTATATAAGGAGAAAATCTTTATATAAGGAATCACTGTACCATTACTGTTTATGTTCAACGGAATAAACCAAGCTAGGTTTCTGAGGGCATAGTTTGTGCTATACACGTGTCCACATCTTCAACCTGTTCTGTTCTTTTTAGAAGCATTATTTGTTTAGCAAGTCTGAATTCTGAACCTATACTTGAATATATTGATGTTCTTATGTGTTGGTTTATTTCCAGCATTATTCTGAGAGGAGGAAGCACACATCGTTCAAATATATTCACTGAAATATTGTAAGTTGATTTTTTTTGGTGGGCCGGGGGGGGGGGGGGGGGCGGTATCAGAAATATATTTTCTCTGAGGTCTGGGATTTATTTGATTGACAAGGAAAGGGAGCTTCGTCCACTTGTGCCATATGACTACCAAGTGAAAATAGCATCTCAGGAGTATGCTTTTTCATTTGCTTAATGAAATCTCCGCTCTATAAAAAAAAGTGCAGCATTGCGTCAAAAAATAAAAAAGTGCAGCAGTAATCTTATCTATTTTGCACCAAATGCATACCTGCTGACATGAATAATCACAATCAACGTCCGGTTGCTTTGTCTAGCACAATTCTTGGTGCATGGAGAGGTGGATCTATTTTGACTTACAGGTCTGATTTTGAATCAATGTATATTACAAAATCAGAGTATGAAGAGGTGGAGTCGTCGCAGATTTTTTTACTGGGGGTTGTAGGCCAGCAGTTTAATAGAAGTGGATACTAATTGTAAATGTGATTCAGCAATTGAAGATATTAGGCAAAACGAGAAGTTTGGTTCCACAGGTTAATGACGCATGTGAGTTAATTTGCAAAGCCTTATTGTGGTCTACTGTAGATGAGTTAACAATCTTAGGTCATGGACCAGTTGGAATTAGACGCATTTGATCCATGTATCTGATATTCTGATGTCCCCCTATTATTGGCAACAACGGTACTGATTAAAAAGAACAGCAGAAAGTGAAAATATAAAATAGACGGACCTATGAAAGTAATTTGTACCAGAGCATTCATGCTAATGAATTATGATGAAATAATGTCCTTGTATGGTACCTTTAGTTCAGGCTTCGGAGCTTGGCAATGGTAACTAGTATCCCTCACGTCCAGTGCAACCAGTTACTCCAGCCTTCCTACCAGCTTTTGCCTACATAACATATACAAATACAACCTGTTTTTATTTTATAGGAAACAATATGCACAGAAATATTGAAGTTTAATTAGTTCACAAACAGAACTATACATTGCTCCCTTTTCAGAGGTGCGAAAATCTATTATATTATTAAAGGAATAGAAAAATGAGCCTATAGGTTTGCTCTCGTGGCCTAGAAATTCTCACATTAATTGGAGAAAAAGAAAAAGCAGAATCCATATAGAAATACAATTTAGAAATAGCTGAAATTCGAGAATTAAAAAATAAGAAATATTAGAAGATGAGACTAGAGTCCATATAGAAATACAATTAGGAAATGACTGAAATTCAGAATTAAAAAATAAGGAATATTAGAAGAGGATACTAGAGTCCATATAGAAATACAATTTAGAAATAACTGAAATTCGGAATTAGAAAATAAGGAATATTAGAAGAGGAGACTAGAGTCCATATAGAAATACAATTAGGAAATAACTGAAATTTAGAATTAAAAATAAGGAATATTAGAAGTAGAGTATAGAGTCCATATAGAAATACAATTAGGAAATAATAGAAATTCGGAATTAAAAATAAGGAATATTAGAAGTAGAGTATAGAGTCCATATAGAAATACAATTAAAAAAAGATAGAAATTCGGAATTAAAAAATAAGGAGTATTAGAAGTAGAGTATAGAGTCCAAATAGAAATACAATTAAAAAAAGATAGAAATTCGGAATTAAAAAAATAAGGAATATTAGAAGTAGAGTATAGAGTCCATATAGGAATTTAAAATTAACTAAAATTCGGAATAAACATAATAAAATTAAAAGTAGAGTTTTGAGTCCGTATGAAAATACAATTTACAAATAACTAAAATTCGAAATTAAGAAAAACATGGGAAGAAGAGTTTAAAGTCAATATAGGAATACAATTTAGAAGTAACTGAAATTCGAAATTAAAAATTAAAGAATATTGAGAGATGAGTTTAGAGTCCACATGAAAATACAATTAGAAATAATAAAAATTCAGAAATAAAAATAAATAATATTGGAAGAAGAGCCTAGAGTCTATATAGAAATATAATTTACAGAAAATTCGGAATTAAAAAAATATATTGAAGGATGAGTCTAGAGTCCATATAGGAATATATATAATTTACAAATAAATAAAATTTGATACTAAAAATCATTAATAACTAACACGTATATAAAATACAATATGAATATTACACATTTGTAGTTTCGTAAAGTTATTGCAAAATTTAAAATTATGATGTTATTTTAATATATTTGAATAATATAATGAGAAAACATATATGCTATTATATGAGAGAAAATATAATGATGCTAGCCGCGCAATCTGCGCGGGCCACCATGCTAGTTGAAGTAATTTCTCTAGAATTTCGGGGCAGGCCATTCACCAATGACCGTCCATCCTCCTTGCTAGTCACTACGGTAGATTCCTTGGCATTATTACTTAGTCGTTGGCCCTGAACCGCCTGCCTAGCAGGAGATTGAATGTATTCCTGGCTCCTGTCATTCAAAAGGTCAAACAAATTATTTCAGATGTATGCACTTGCATACACACCATGCATCACAGCATGGAAGTACAACACTTCAAATCAAAGTTATCAGTGCAATTGGGCCAAACAAAATCAATTAGTTTTAATGAAACAGTAGTGATAATTCTTTGCTCTAATACATCATCAGGCTACACTGCTCCCTGAACAATGTATATTTGTTTGATGAGCCAATATCAGTGTTTTCTAGCAACTGGATATAACTATACTGTAGATGCTAACAATCTATCTATATATATAAACAAAAATAGATTTACATGTTCATGCACTCTTCAGACTTCAGTGTGATCGTTTTTTGTCTCGAACACGCAGGACAGCTGCGTATCATTATAGAGTTCAATGTAAATTAGTTGTTAGTTATCTTTTTCTCAGAACTATTGACTTAGAGGGTCGATAACAGAAAGCAGCTGCAGATTAGCTCACATTTTAAATTAAAACAAGTGATATAAAAAATCAATGAATGTAGTAATTCTGTTATGGGCTTATGGTTCCAAAGGGCTAGAATCAGGTACTTCTCACACATGTAATGCACCAACAAGAGGATCAGTTCCCTTCTGAAATGAGATTATGTTAGGTTTGTTAGTATCATCTAGTTTCATGATATAACGGAAGTTCCTGGCTCAAGTTGACCTATCTACATAACGTTGGGTTGTGTCTATTTTTCAGTAAGCAATGACAAACCAGCGAGTGATAATAAGGATCATAGGTCCTTATCACGTTAGGAAGAAGCAGTGGCCGGCCCAAGAATTTTCAAAGAACCCGGACAGAAACCACGACGGCTGGCTGGCTGCCGGACTTTGCACTGTATGCCGGCCAGCCTGAGCGGCTGCCTAGGGTCATGGGTCCTTCGGTTCACTGCTAGGGAGAAGCCCTGCATATGGCTACACGTAGGTGAGTGCCATTCCCCTGGTCTTCAGACCTTTACCCCATATGAAACCCAGATATGGCATGTCAGCTATACCAGCCCAGTATGGTAACATAATCCATGTAAACATGTTAATGTGCGGAGATTATACTTAATGTTGTCGTGCAATTCACGAAAAACTAGGAAAGAAAAATGCCTAAGAGTTAAAAGGGAAGAAAAAGGCAAACCTACATGCTGTAGTAAGGCTCCTTGGGTCGATTGTCTCGTCTCTGTAAACTCTTGGATGATTTGGATGAATCTTGGCAGCAGCTATCACCCCCTCGACAACAGAGTCAACAATAATCCCGAAGAACTCAACTTCTTTTAGTTTTGGAAGATTCTCTATGCCAGAAATGCCTCTTTCGGGTGCTTTTACAAAAGCCAACGTGAGTCTCTCAAGATCAGGCGCTCCTCCCTTAAAGCTAAGCTCATCAAGATTTTTTAAATTATCTATCATAAGTTGTTTGAGTCTCGGAAAAAGATTATGCTCAAAGCATAGTTCTGTCCCTAGATATGAGTTAACATACAGTTTGAGGGACAAAAGACTATGAAGTTTCCCTAGTATCTTGACCAATTCACTCTCCAGATAGTTTTCTCGGAGCGATAGCCTGACTAAGTTGCTGAGAGATGAAATCCATGGAGGCAGAGCACTCACTCTTCCCCAAAAGTAGAGCTTTTTCAGGAAGAGAGGCGGCGAGCTTAGGTCCATTAAGAACTCAAGCCCATGTTCCATTTTGTCGATATGAATTACTGATAGGTGGCGAAGGGAATTGCTCAGTTTACTTAATGAGGTAGCGAAAGGTCTCCATTTCTCTACTCCCTTTCTGTTGATAGCACAAAGCTTGGTCAACTGAGACAGCTCTCCCAGTTCATGCATTGCACGGAAGCTTGATGAGATGTTTACAGGAGCAATGCTCTGAAGGGCACTCATATTTTTCAACCCAGCAGGTATAGTCACAGCTTCCTTTGAAGCAAAATGTTTCACATGATGTGTCCTTGTATAGTACTTGTAACGGCCTGCAAGAAGATGTTTGAGACACCGGAGCTGAGTGATAGTTGCAGGTAACTCCCTAATGTAAGTGCTTCTTACATCCAATGTCAAAAGTTCTTTCAGGTTCCCCACTGCCCTTGGTAGCTTTGAAATATTTGTGCTTCGAAGACTTACATACCTCAACAGATACAGCTTGCAAATATCTTTCAAATCTGAATCACTTAACCAGCCGCAACCTTCAAGGTCTAACACCCTTAGAAGTGTTAGATCAGCCAAAGCGATAGGTATTGGTTTCTCCTTGCAGCCTAGGATTGTCAAAGAACGTAGATGGGATAAGTTCCTACATGAGAAATCTTGCTCCTTACCACCACCTACATGGATGGAAAGCCGCCGAATTTTGTCATGCCCTGTTATGCTGTAACTGTAATTCCCTAGGAGTGAGATGAAGTTTTCTTGGACAGATATGGCACTGATTACTTCCAGCATGATGTCATGAACCCTACAACTCCGGACCTCGCCGCTGCTATCAATCCGAATAGGTGTAACGATGTTTCTACTGATAAATTCATCAAAATACTTATCAGCAATTTCTTCCAAATTTGATCCACGCACTCTACCAATGAAACCCTCTGCTGCCCATCTTCTAATCAAGGGTCCTCTTTTGATCTCAAAATCCTCGGGAAAAACACTAAGATACAAGAAGCAAGCCTTCAGATGGTAGGGCAAATCATTGTAGCCAAGAGAGAGTATCTTTCTCATTCCCCCTACAGTATTATTTATCTCTAACCCACAGTCCAATCTGTCACACACCTTCTGCCATTCTGCATATGTCTTGTTTTTCATTCGAGCTAGCATTCCTCCTATGCTCACAATGGCTAGAGGCAAGCCATTACATTTTCTTAATATGGCATCGGAGATATCCACCAAATCTTGGTACTGTGAAGGACATTTGTCCAATTTGAACACTCTCTTGAAGAATAAATGTCTGGATTCTTCACTGGGTAAGGGCTCCATGCTGTAAATACAGTCATGGGGATAATAGCAGCAAATTTGAGCTACAAGGTGATTCCTTGTAGTAATTAGTATTCTACTCCGTTTATCATTATCAGGAAAGGCTATCTTCAAAGTCATCCATGCTTCTGGCCTCCAAAGGTCATGAAGAACAATGAAGTACCTAAACATATATGAGAGATGAAAGTAAATAATCTTTCAACTAAAAGCAAAGTTCTGATGAGGAGCAAAATTATCTATCAATCTACAAGCAAAATATATATATATAAAGATGAACCAAATTTGAGAAAAGTGAGAAATAGGGAATGAACTGTATGTGTTGAGTTAGGCCAAAGGGCATATGCATAGTGTACATGAGAAGGAAAGGACTCATACTCTTGACACACACTACTACAGATATACTTGACACGTATACCCATAACAGGTGCCAAATTAATACTCCATCCATCTACTTTTGATAGTCATATTTCATCTTGACACACAGACCAAGGATAAATAATTCTACTTATCATCCATTTAAACATGCTACTAGTCATTCATCGTAAACAAACGATTCATTAATATTTACATTTCTCGATGCTCAAGTAGCCAATCTTGTGTGGAAGAATGGAGAGTCATGCATTAAATCCGAGAAAGTCATTAAGATGATAGGTTGTTGAATTGAAATATGCCTATCAAAAAATAAATTTTTCAGATTTGGAAATATGACTATCAAAAGTAGATGGAGGGAGTACTTGTGAAGAGATTGGGGTTCTTACAGATCTATTAACATATATAAAAATTGAATACAACTCATCGCATGCCAGACAAACAAAAAGAGGAAAAACACAAACAGTAGCTTTTCTACCTTTCCTTTTTTTATGTAAATTTCTGATTTTATTATAGTGTTATATTTCATTAGAATTACTTAAACACTGAATTCAGAGATTTTACTGCTGATTGTACAGCTAAATTGTGGTTCTAATGTCCATCATATGGTATTATACATGCCCCTAATGAGATAATCATTAAAAATAATACGACAACACATCATGCATCATATTAAACCAAAAGAAATTGTGAGATATTATTTGTTTAAATAAAAAATGAATTATTCCCTTTATCATATAATTAGAATTTATCGCATAAGTTTAGTCTTGATCTAAGTTAAAAAATAGGTGTATTGTTTCCCTTTTTTTACTACTGTGAGAATGTGTATATCTCTGAACAAACATATTCAGTGTATACCCATTATATATGTGCTGGTCGAATGGACCCACGGTCTTTTCATCTTCTTTTCTAAAAATGCTTACTAATTATCGGGATTTTGTAGGAGCTATTATGTTGATAAAGTGATTAAAAGTTGACCTCTCAAGCAGAAATTTCTAGATTTACCATTGAAACATTCAAGTGGCCTAAATTATTTGGGTTGTTCTAGTTTTCCACTCTTTTAGGTATGTTGTTTTAGGTGATAAAACTTTAGCTTTTTTGTTACATGTTGGGTTCTGGAGTTATTTTAATTTTATAATCCCCGTTACACATGTATTTCAAGATACAATGACTTCTATGCTAGAAAACTGCTTGTTGCATTGTTAGTGAAAGTCAATTTTTAAAAAATTCCAGTGTGTCATTGGTACTGCAAGCCAAGTAAACTTATTAAAGGTTATGACACTGAAAATTCAAGGAAGTAGTATTACCTTTTGTTCTCCAAGTAATTTCTGCACCTATTAATGAGTTGGCATATGTCCCAGGTTTCGATGCCTTTGAGGGGGTCTTCAGTACTAGTTTCTTCATCCACACTCCTTGGCTCTCTGAGAAAGGGTCTTTGGATAAGCTGCTTCAGTAAAGATTCCAGAAGTGCTCGGGGATCATAGTTTTGGGACACTGCCACAAAAGCACGGCTCTGGATCCCTTTCACTGCTGGGCTCTTGTAAACAGTCATTGCAAGGGTGGTTTTTCCTAGTCCACCAAAGCCAACAACGGAGACTACTTTAAGATTAGGCACATGACCTTCGTCTAGCAGCTTGGTGACTTCTTCTGTCTTATCAGCCATTCCAACAAGTCGTGATTCGTCGATGTTTAGTGCAGATAATCGGCGCTCTTGATCAATGTAGTTTGAAGAAGACAGAGATCCGGATCTACTTCTAAATCAACCAATTGTTGGGTTGAGCATGTATCTCAGCCTCCGCTCACTCACTCTCTGCACACGAGTCCTGAGACTTTGGATTTTGATGGCCAGGTTGTTCCTCACTTTCAACGTCTTCAAGGTGTAGACTACCTTTGGTACACAATAACAGCGGACTCCCCTGGCACCATAATGATGGCCAATGTAGCACCAGAATGTGTCAATACAATCCTCAGCATCAAATGCTACCTCCCTGACTTGTTTCATCCACGTTCTTGTCTACATTAAGCCCAGTGTCATTGCAGGTATTCAAGGAAGATTGAAAAACTAAGAAACAAAAGGAAAAACATCATAAGCCCAAGTACTATATGTTATTTGGCCATTTGTGTTTGTGCAATCAAGTAGTCTATCCTAGTTTTGTTGATGTGAGCTATTTGACTATCTTGCTTTGCTGCAAAACAAAAACTTTGTGAAAACAAAGAATATAGATGTTTTTATTTGAGATATTTTGACTAGTTTGCTTTGCACGCAAATTAAACATTGAGAAGGCAGTTAAGCTAATAAGCTCGACTATCGATCTGTTCGTTGCAATCCCCATCGAATTTCTCTCAAATTTACTCCTTATGTGCCATCGCTTCTCAAAAGACAAGACTTAATTCCTCTTTACCTTTTTGAAGCCATCACGGCAGGCATCTACTGCTAAGTGCTACTAACTGATAGTGCCGCATTCGTGGCCGGTGCGCGAGCTGCTACTGCTACCACCCATCCCCAGCTGAAGACATGAAGTAGCCCCAGATTGCGATTGCACGCCTCGTCCCCAGTTGAGCTCTCTCTGCTGTGTGCGTGAGAGCAGCAGCAGCATGAAGATTGAAAAGGCTAGAAACAAAAGGAAAAGCATGAGAGATCGAATGGCGGGACAGGCCTAAACCTGCTCATCGGTCGCTCCCCAACCAAAGACTGTGCCGCCGCCGCCGCCGGATCGAGCGCGTGCGCGCTGCGAGCGTGCGACCTCACCATCGTCCAACAACAGCTGCGGCTCGGCTCCCTGAGTCGCAACCGCGAGCGCCGGTGCGGCCGTGCGGGGGAGAGCCGCGACCGGCGAGTGGGGAACTGCCTCTTGGAACTCTCTATCTAATAACAAGAAAAACATATTAAAAACAAGTAAAACTAGTTGGGTGGCGCGCACAATTGCGCGGCTAGCACCCAAACAAAATCATATATTTTTTTAGGCCCCCTTTGATTTAAACGAAATTCATAGGAATTTTAGAGGATTTCATTCCTATAGGAATTTTCCTATATAGCCCTTTGAATCAAATGAATAGATCTTATGGAATCCTATGAAATTCCTATGGATTGCCTAATGCCATGCAAGTTTTGGAGTAATTCTAACATGAGGTAAAACCTCTTGGAAACTTTCCTTTAAGTCTTTATCTCTCCTCTAATTCCTGTGTTTTTCCTGCGGTCCAATCAAACGACCATTCCTGTGTTTTACAATCCTCTGTTTTATACTTACATTCCTATCAAAATCCTGCATTTTTCCTATTCCTATGTTTTCTTATTCCTGCGATTCAAAGGGGCCCTTAGTATGATTTTACTTAAAAAATTTTAAATAGCTATCTCATTATCTTAAGACTTTGAAATACAGTTTTTAAAAGTTATACTAGTTGCTACTCCTTATATCATTTTTCTTATTTATTTGCTTGCTCGATTTACCACTATTTCTATTTATTCTTCTTAGAGTCTTTAAAAATTAGATGTTATAGTTTGTAGAGTTTATTGTCACGTTGGATTTCGTTTTTATAATTTCTAGATGTCCCGTCAAATATTACCATTATACTCCTCTACGGCACGTCAACTGTCTCTACTCTTTATTGTCATTGTGATTTTAAAAATCGAACATAATTATTGTTTGGGTTCATTTTTACTTTCTAGAAGTCCCGCCAAACCATCCGTGGCTTTGCCATTGTACTCCTCTACGGCTCGCCTGCTGCCTCCCTTCTTTATTGTCATTGAGATTTTAAAATCAAACATGACTATCATTGCCTTTTTTTTTACTTTTTAGAAGTTCCGAACCTTTAAAATATAGACCTCGTAGTTTTTAGAGTTTATTATCTTGTTGGATTTTATTTTTTATAATTTTTAGAAGTCTCGTCAAACGATGCCACTATGCTCCTTTACGGTCTGCCGCCTACTTTTTATTGTCATTGTGATTCTAAAAATCGAACATAACTATTGTTGGAATTCATTTTTCATTCTCTAAATGTCCAGTCAACCGTCAGCGGCTCTGCAATTATACTCATATGCAATCCGCCCGCTGCTTCTCCTTTTTATTGTCATTGATATTTTAAAATTTGAATATGATTATCAATGGGATTTATTTTTTTCACTTTCTAGAAGTCCCGGTAACCGCCTTACTCGCTTGCTTCACGGCCTGCCTGTTGTCCCTCCTTTTAATCGTCATTAGGATTCTATTTGGTGTTTTACTTTATTTATCTCGTCATGTGTTTTAGATGTTCTTTTCTTTCAATAGTATTTATTTTTATCACAAAATTTAGTTATTTATAAATTGTATTCTTAATTGAAATCTTGTTTTTCTTTTTTCTAATTTCAGAATTTATTTTTTTTCAAATTTTAATTAATACCGTATTGTGTTCTTTTAATTTTTTTTATTTTTTTATTTTTAATTTTAGTTGTTTCAAAATTGTATTTCTACTCGAACTCTCTTTTAATTTGTCTAATTTTGGATATTATTTTATTTTTTATTCTGAATTTTAATTAATCTCGTATTTGGTTCTTATATGGATTCTTCTTTCAATATTACTTATTTTTAATTCCGAATTTCAGCTAATTTTAAATTGTATTCCTACTCGAACTCTTGTTTTATTTTTTTTGCTAATTTCAGATTTTATTTTTAGTTTTATTTTGAATTTTAATTAATCTCGTATTGGGTTTTTATATGAACTCTTCTTTTAATATTCTTTATTTTTAATTACGAATTTGAGCTATTTTTAAATTATATTCCTATTTAGACTATCCTTTTCTTTTATAATTTTTGATTTTATTTTATTTTTATTTCGAATTTTGATTAATCTCATATTGGGTTCTTATATGGAAACTTCTTTCAATATTGCTTATTTTTAATTCCGAATTTCAGCTATTTTAAATTGTATTTTTATTTGGACTCTCCTTTTCTTTTCTAATTTTGGATTTTATTTTATTTTTATTTCGAATTTTGATTAATCACGTATTGGGTTCTTATATGGAAACTTATTTCAATATTGCTTACTTTTAATTCCGAATTGCAGCTATTTTTAAATTGTATTTCTACTTGGACTCTTCTTTTCTTTTCTTTTTATTTTTCTCCGATTAATGTGGGAATTTCTAACTTCACAGCGAACATGGTGCCTCCTTTTAAAGCTGTTTTAATAATATAATAGATGTTCAGATTTTTGTTACCAATCCTTTTTGACTTAACTAGCGTTTATTTATTTTGTTACCATCAATTTATCATGCCGCAGCTTTTCTTTAAATCGTTTTGTAATCGTCTGGACCAACAATTTTGCATTTAACACGGTACTACCTTCGATTTTTAATATACGATGGCTTTAAATTTTGAATAACTCGATATATGTTTGTGTCAACAATCTATACCCGATAATGTTATTTGTAGTGTATGAGGATTATTGATACTAAGGTAACATGAGATTGTAATAATAAAATAGGTGACAAGGATTATTATACAAGTTTGGACCCCTACGGCTAATAGCTCTGTCCCTATTTGCCAAAACCGGTGTTGCCATTATATAACAATATTTCACGAGTATAATATTAAGGATGATCTAATCTAGTCTCTGTTTGCCTAACAGCGTAAAGCTCTCACATGTCTTCAATGGCTAGCAATTGTCAGTTTTCTCTAATATAAACTCGGTGAACTTCTTCTAATATAATAAACTCGACAAGCTTCCTTTAATATAAACTCGCCGTCCTCTAATATAAACTTGGTGAAATTGGAGTTATCCTATATCACTATGACTTTTGTGACGCTATGGGTTTATCTTAGCTTGTGTTGACATGTCCCATCTTCTCCTAAAGGGTCCATTGGGTATCCTTGATCCAATTAGGACTAGGGAGGAAACGATCCAAGTAGATCTTGTAGTGTTCAAGTAGAATTTTATTGCTATTTCCTTATCTAGAAACATCTTCGTATTTGAGATTTAATTTTGTATATAGGATTTGGTATATGGTTCCCTGCTAAGCTTAATACACAAGTATGATGTATCTCATATCCAATTTTATCTTATCTTAATTAAAATTTTATGCAAATATAAAAAAATATTTTTAAAATATCCTTAATGGTAGAACAAATTATAACAAAAAACTAATAACTATGTATTTTTCATAATAAAACGCAAGATCAAAGTTATGTCAAAACTCAAAAATCAACATTGTTATACGTTAAAAACCGAAGACAGTATTATAGATGTATGCGATATATCGAGGCAAAGTATGATTGATTTTTTTTTCTAAATTCATCATTGCACATGGTTAATTCTGATATTCACGATATTACACACCCGTAAGCTTTTTTTCAATAGGAGCATGATAATGTAAGAGATTTACTCATTCTCTGTGCCCACGTACTTCCTTGTGTTAAAAAAAATTACTCCATCCATTCTAAAATATAACACTTTAGTTGGATAAAAGATATGAAGTAATATGAATCAATAAATTACTATATTTTAAAACGGATGGAGTATATATTTTTCCCGTGAAACAAATGGGTTGGAGAGCTACCCATTAATTGCTGTATCAAAGAAGCAGTTTGCTTTCAAAATATAAATATTTTTTTATCAATCTGGATAACTATATCTAAAAGTGATTATATTTTGAGACAAAAATAGTGGAGTATAACTTAGGCTATGTTCGGGAAGAGGGATCCCGGCACGCAAATTAAAGCTTGTATTGTTATATGATTAATTAAGTATTAATTATTATTTTTTAAAAAATGGATGAATATATTTTTTTTAAAACATCTTTCATATAGAAAGTTTTTGTATAAATCAAACTGTTTAGTAGTTTGAAAAACGTGTGTGTGGAAAACGAGAGATGGGTTAGGAAAATGGAGGAAGAATACAGCCTTATTTTGGAAACAAAGAAATAGGAGTAGTATGCATTTCCACGAGGCCAGAATGACTAAAGTTGGGTTTCCTTCATTTAAACTACAGCACGCACGAGACGAGAAGCGGCTGCATTCACCTGCTCGTTGCGGTCGTCGACGTCGCCGGCGGCGGCGAGGTCGCGGAGGCAGGCGTTCATGCTCTCGAGCTCGTCCTTGAGCTCCTGGATCTCGTCGCGCGCGCCGAGGAGGAGCGCGTACCTGCCGGCGAGGACGTCCGCCAGCTTCCCCAGGAGGATGCGCACGGCGCCCTCCGTCGAGCTCACCACCATGGCCTCCATGTCGCCAACCAACCTCTCATAACTCACAGCCCCTTCCCGTGTATTACTCCAGTTCCGTCCCTTGTTGCCGAGTGGGCCAGCAAATGCTTTCTTCTAAGACTGTCGCGTTTTTATCTTTCTTTAAGCTAAAAAAACGAATATAATCGCCCTCGAGAGAGAAAAATAATAAATAAACCGCTCGCGGTTTCGCTTGCTGACCCAGGCGCTACTGCTAAAGGTGGCGGCGGCCTGCTGTTTGCACTGTCGACGATTGACGTGGTTTGTTTTGGTTTAGGCTGTGTTTAGATTTAGCCCTTGTTTAGATACAAACTTTTTCTTTAAACTTTTAGTTTTTTCATTACATCAAAATTTTCCTACACATATAAACTTTTAACTTTTTCGTCATATCGTTCCAATTTCAACCAAACTTTCAATTTTAGCGTGAACTAAACACACCCTCAGTGTTAAAAATTTTTGTCGTGTCACATCGGATATACATACACACATTTAAAATATTAAACGTAGTCTAATAATCAAACAAATTATACAATCCGCTTGTAAACTACGAGACGGATTTATTAAGCCTAATTAATCTGTTATTAGCAAATGTTTACTGCAGCACCACATTGTTAAATCATGGAGCTATTAGACTCAAAATATTCATCTCGCAAATTACTCGTATTCTGTGCAATTAGTTATTTTTTAGCATATATTTAATACTTCATATAGGTATTCAAACGTTCGATGTGATAGGGTGTAAAATTTTTGCGTGGGAACTAAACACCCCATTAGTTTGATTCACTAGGATATTTTGGATGTGTCAAAGTTTAGATTATTTTTTTTGGTATTGTAAAAATTAGGTGGGACAATACCACATTCCTATCTAGTTTTGTCATCATTATAAACGTGGGTCCTATATTAATCGGTAGGGTCAAATGAAAGTGACACTGGTGGAGAAATGGTCTTTCCTCCCGGTTCGTAATCCCCTATATTTTCGGTTGTAATTTTACAACCGAAAGTACGAATTCGGGATTAAGGTATCTTTAGTCCCGGGTAAAATAACCGAGAAAAAAAATTAATTTTTTAAGTTTCGATTGGTGTTACCAACCAGGACTAAAAATGCTAGAGCAGAACCGGCGGTTGGTAGTTTTTATTTCTCTTGTTTTTTTCATATTGATTTCACTAATCACTACATCCCCAAATCATCCCCAAATTGAGAAATCCCATAATCATGTAAAACATCACATCTCCAAATCATAGATCAAATTCATCATAAATTCTAAAAAAAATTATATCACAAATTCTAAAAAATCCATCACAAATACAGTACATCACATATGCACATCACAGATCATATCACAAATTCTCAAAAACAATCAACAGAAATCCTCAAAAACAAAAAACAAATTCTGAAGGCCGCCGCGCGCGCCTCCCCAGCCCGGCGGCCGTTGCCCCCGCCCGCCCGGCCACCGCCGTCGCTCCACCGCCGCCGCCGGATCTGGTAGAGGGGAGCGCGAGGCGCCGCTGCCGACCCCGCCCGATCCCGCCTGCCCGCCTGGCCGTCGCTGCTCCCGCCCGATCCAGTGCAGCACCCGGCCGGACGCCGCCGCCCTGACCAGCTGCCGCCGACCCAGAGAGCTCGTGGTAGGAGGAAGAGGAGGCGGGGAGGGGGAGGAGAGGGGAAGGGGGAGGAAGGGGAGAGGAGATGGGGATCGGAGAGAGGAGGCCAGTCGAGAATGCCCGAGATTGAGATGGGATCAAGGAGGCTGGAGAGTGGAGATGGTTTTAAATGGGAGTGGAAGGGGGAGGGGATGGATAAGACCGAGAGAGAGGACTCGGCGCACGCTCGGGAGGATTTTTGTCCCGGTTGGTATAAAGAACCGTGACTAATGATCTATTTTAGTTCTAGTTGTTTATACCAACCGGGACTAAAGATAATTGGGGCCTAACTCGACCCTATAATTTCTTTGAACCGGGACTAAAACTGATCTTTAGTTCCGGAACTAAAGATCAAAAAGTTTCTCACCGGGACTAAAAATAATCTTTAGTAACTAAAGATCAAAAAGTTCTTCCTATTTGAACTAGGACTATTGTGATTTTCGGACGACCGACCAAAAATGGTTTCTCCAGTAGGGTGAAGACTCAATCTACTCATTAACTAGGAGAAGTAGGAATGGATTAAAAAAAGGGTCATGCTACTCGCGGAAACACTTACCAGACCAAACAGGGGTGCGCAGCGATTGATACTTACTCTGCGTGGTTTCCAACCCTTCCATGTCGTTTTCCGCACGCACGCTTTTCGAACTGCTAAACGGTACGTTTTTTTAAAAAAAATTCTATACGAAAATTGCTTAAAAAATCAAATTAATCTATTTTTGAAAAAAAAAATAGCTAATACTCCCTCTATATACATTTGATAGTCATATTTCATTTTGGTACAATGACCAAGAATAAGTAATTCTTCTTATCATCCATTTAAACTTGCTACTAGTAATTCCTCGTAAACAAGCGATTAATTAATATTTATATTTCTCGATCCCCATGTAACCAATCTTGTGTGGAAGAATGAAGAGTCATGTATTAAATCTGAGAAAATCATTAAAATGATAGGTGGTTGGATTGAAATATGCCTATCAAAAGTAAATTTTTTAGATTTGAAAATATAACAATCAAAAGTAGATGGAGGGAGTACTTAATTAATCACGCGCTAATGAACCGCTCCGTTTTCCGTGCGGAGGGGATGTGTTCCCAACCCCAACTAACGAACAGACTTAGTGTCGTACGACAGTCAGAATCAGCCACGTGGCGATTCTCCCCAATGGGAAATCCTAGGTTGGCACTTGTCCAAGGCTTTGACACGTGTTCGGTCCAACGCACTCCTAGGCAAGTGGTCCCTATCGTTCTTAGGAAAGGTCAGGTGTCAGCTGCCGAGCAGAGAGATACGCGGGAGGGTCCTAATCTATCCGCTCTACCATTCGATAGGTCTGTCTCTGCCAGTGTAAAAGAGTTGTCGTCTTCCTCCTCCCCCGCTATGTAATAAAACTACACTGCCTAAAAAACAACCCTCATTCAAACAACATTGTTTTCACGAGAAAATCAACCCACCATAAAAAAAAACTTAGATAGATAAAACTGAACTCAATAAAACCATTCGCCTGTATCCCTTCAATTCCGTTCTGGTAACAAAATTGACATTTTTAAATATTTAATTTGTTACCACAAAAGGTGACAATTTTGCATAGCGTATACATGTCCATTGTAAAAAGAGACTGATACCAATTCTTAGTCATTTTTAGTTTCACTAAAAACCTATTAAAAACACACCCCATTGTGTATAATATTTATGTACATTAAGATATATATCCTGGATGAATATACTCATGTATCCACAACTTTATCACCACCTCCAAAAACAACAAAATACTGCTACCAAGGTTATAGGTAAAATGACACCAAACGCGACCTTCAAATTGTCATAAGTTTTGGTAATACAGCCATAGTGATGTTTGATTTGCTATAAAAATGAGACTTACCAAAATCTTGCTCGGCACCTATGCGGGCATGGAAGGGAAGAACCTGGCCTAGAAACCAAGCCCAAAGATGCAACGAAGCTACCTCACTTCAAGTTTGAATTGCATCCTCAAACCGTAAATACCCGGTATAACATGTCCCCCAACTTATAAAACTGGTACTGCCATATTGTAAGTTGTTTTAGCTGACATGGCACTAATGTGACACCAAAGATAAAAGTAAAAAGTAAAAAAATATGTGGATCCTTCTTTTTCTCCTTTCCCCCTCTCTCCTCTCTTTCCTCATCTCTTTTCAGGATGTGTGACGGACAGGAGAGACGGTGGCGGGTGGCGGCTGGCGGCTGGTAGGAAGAAGAGCAGTGGAGAGGAGATAGCTGGTGGCAGCGATGCCAGCATAGCAACCCTCGCGACGCGGTGATCGCAACCATCGCACCATGTGATAGAGAGACGGCAAGCAGGCGTCGCCACCGATCCCGATGAGGAACCGAGCCTTGGTGTGAGGAAAGACCCGCCGTTGTTGTCGCCAAGCAATGGCGTAGCATCCAGGGAATCCCTGCCACTTTTGTCGTCCTTGGCGCTGTGGTCTACCATGACGTGAACCGTCGTCATCTGGCCGGTTTTGCAATGTCCCGGGCTACTGGCACGCCGCTGATGAAGTAGAAGTTGTCGTTCCGGTCAAGGCGAAACCTGATATTGGTGTCATCATCAAACGTCTACTCCGGCTTGTCGGTGTTGCAAGGTTTTTAGTCGTCGCGGCTGCTGATCAGTCTACAATCCATGAGGAGGGATCCACCAACAAGAACAGATGGAGTAGACAAGCAGCGAGCAAGATGGCAATCACTCAAGGAAAAAATATCAAAATGGCTTATACATACAAAAATTTAACAGCGGATCAACACGACAGCACTATGGTTCATCTGAATTGTTTATTTGACCATATTTTGAAGTGTAACTACTAATCTGACTCTATATTTTTAAGTTTGCTTATTTAACCTCGTTTTTTAAAATCAAAGATACCATCTAACCCTATTTTTCCTACACCATTAGAGTTTCATTTTACCATATTGCCCTGAGTACACATTTATGTTGGCCAAAACCTTATCCAGGCCGTGAGGCCGACGCCGTCTCGACCCTGTCTCATCTTGGCGGCAGGGCAGCTAGTCGAGGCCGGCACGGAGGGTTGCACCGCCGCGCATGGACCTGCGGTGGACGGAGGCTGGCGACGGCCGGCGTGGAGCAAGCTGCAGCGCTGGCAGGGAGCGGTGGAGCGCGGAGAGTCGCGCACGCCGTCGCACATATGGACCTGGGAGGGACGGAGGCCGGGGCAGGGACTCGCGGCGGCCGGCGTGAAGGGAGCTGCAGCAGGCAGGAGCAGTTGTGCGCGTGGGCGGTGACGTACTGACGTTTGTAGGCGCAGGCAGCCTACTCGGTGGCCGCCGGTTTCAGCGGCTGTACCGTAGGCTCTACGATTTTGTTCCCTTTAGCCCCGTTCTTTTCTCTAACAAGAATTGGATGATGATTAAGATTTTTGTAATACGTTTTTCAAACTAATAAACGGTATGTTTTCTGTGAAAACTTTCGATATAAAAGTTACTCTAAAATATCATATTATTTTATTTTTTTCAAGCTTGTAATAATTAAAACTCAATCAATCATATGTTGATACCACATCGTTTTGTGTAAAAAACTTAATTTTTATCTCCATCTTCATCTTCAAGAGAAAAGAACACCACTTTTAATCTCTATCCTCTCTGTTCAGATTTTTTTCTCAAGAGATCAGTTCAAGTGGATTTAGGATTTAATTTGTGTTCTGAGATTTTCTAGTTGAACATAACAATTGAAGTGATATGGGTTATAATTTTTGTTCTATTGGAAATCTATCTGAACTTTTAACTTTTGTTTCACTGTATTTATGTGTCCTCTGAATTTTTTTTCCACTGTACCTATCTATTCTTCGTCTTTCGAATGAAGGGCATAAATGATATTTTTATACTGGTTTCATGAAATAGGTCAGATCTAATTTTTTATTAAAAAAAGCTAAATGAGCAGACTTAAAACATCATGTTTAAATTGGTTGTTATACTTTAAAATAGAGTAAAAACACAATTAACCCTAAATGTCTAGTTCTAGAAACCTATCGATCAAGGGCTCAAGGCAGCTCACTGTTGGCACGAAGCATCGCCGCATGATGCGCCTGCTCGGGTACGGCAGCCCCGTGCACTCGCCACAGTCAGAGTCTCACAGAGCCCGTCGAACGCACGCGCAAGCCACTTGGGACTGTGATGTCCATCCACCACTCACCGAGAAAAAAAGACCGAAGCGGCGGCGACGCATCCCCAACCCCTATGTGGCAATTTCGTTGCACTTCAGTGCACCCTTGAGTCATTAACAAATGTTGTGTTCTTTTTAGAATTCTAAAGATGAAGATTATGAAGATTAAAATTTTTTAACACAAAACAAAATGGTACTAACATATGATTGATTGAGTTTTAATTATTACAAAATTAAAAAATAGATTAATATGATATTCTAGACCAACTTTTATATAGAAAGTTTTCGCACGAAACACACCATTTAACCGTTTTAAAAGCGTGCCACGAAAATCTTACCGCTTACTATATTTTACAAGTAAATATAAGTTAAGTTAATACATGGTTTGGGAATGCAATTCGAACTTGATGCATAAGTGAACTTGTTATTCCAAGATGCAATTTTTTTATTTCTAATTTTTTTATTAAAATATTTACAAAACTAATTTTGTGTTTCAAAATTTTACAAAACTAGTCGGCCGCTGCCCTTTGGGAGGGCGATTTCGATTTTCGTGACATGGCAGACGACCGTTAGCTCATTCCTAACGACCGGCTATAGGGGGCCTGCCATTTTGCAGGTGGCCCCCTTGCCGCCCTTAGGAAGGGCGATTTAACACCGTGCGGGGGGCCGCATGCACAAGGGCGGCGAGGGCGGCCTGGCTTTTTTGCAGGCGGCCCCCTTGCCGCTCTTCCAAAGGGCGATTTACTACTGTGCGGGGGGCCACCTGGAAAAGGGCGGCGAGGCGGCATGGAATTTTGCAGGTGGCCCCCTTGCCGCCCTTAGGGAGGGCGATTTTTCCCCCTTCCCAGTATAAAACCCCTTCCCCCTCTCAGAATTTTCATTATATTCACTCAAAATCCAAAAAAAAGAGAAAGAGGGAGGGGTGAGGGGGGAGGAGAAGGGGAGCGGCGAAGCCCTGCTGGTTTGCTGACTCCATCACAGGCGATACATTCCTTTGAAATGTGTTTCCATTTTTTTGCTGCATTTTAGTTTTTTTACCATATATTTTAGTATATCTGTAGCACACACCCTATTTTAGAATTTGAGACATAGGACAGACAACTTTGTAGGATCTTTAACTTAGGGCATAGAATGTATTGATGAATGGGGGGTTAAATCTGGTTAGTATGATATGAACTTAGTTAACATAGCTATTTTTTCATCAGGCACAATGTCAAGTAAGGTCATGTTTCATATAGTTCACAGTGAAGGCAACCTTAGATTTGGTCCTGATGGTGTTGATCTATCAGATTTTTTTAATGACATCGAAGGGCATCGATAGATCTGCCGAGAGATCATTTTAGTCAATTTATAATTGGTTGATGCGAGGATTTAGAATAGACTCAGAAGTCCACACAATGTCAGTATCTGTTGTAGTGAGTCGTGCAATGAAAGGTTATTTTTGGGAACTCATGCCGATGCATAGCACTGTTGCTTGGAAACATTATTTGGAGATGGCTTTTGAAAGGTCATGGCCCCTGGTTATTTTTGTGTCAGTGCATGAAAATGATAGAAATATTGCAATGGAAACTGAAGATGTGGAGTGTCCAAGCCATGTGGGGGATTTTGTTGAACCATCGGGGGAAGATGAGGGAAATGACACAGGGGTGGTGTAGGCCAGATGAACTCTCATTAAGTCCAGTTATAGCACTAGTTGCGGCCCTATATAATAGACAAGCCGAATACAAGCTCTTCATATCATCTTTCATATTCCCACACATCTAGAGAGAATGGAAGCTCCATTTCTTGAGCGTCTCAACTGGTGAAGCGATCCTTTCGCCGGTTGGTTTCCACCATGGTGTGACTGGCCGTTATGCACTTGTGGGGATCGATGCATACTTAAGTCAAGCCTCATGGTAGAAACTCGGGGCAGGAGATTCTTCCAATGCGCAAACCTTGATCAGGTATGATTTATTCGTTACAAGTTCAATTAACTATACTGAACACATAAAACGCTAACCGATTTCTACGCAGACATACCGTACATTGTGCAACTACATTGAGTGGGGTAGATACGGAGAACCCACAAAACGACGGAACATGTCCATATGCACGTAGTGAATCAAGATCGGACTACCTCAGGCGAAGGATGAGCATGAGCGTCAAATTGTTGCGGAAGCTTTAGAATGGCAGGTAAATCCCCTGGGACTCCCCACATGGCGGGAACGTCCAGAGTGTCGTTGTGGTGACCATTGTCAGGTGATAAGGTCTGTAAGACAACGAACTCGAGGACAAAGATGCTTCGTGTGTCCTAACATTACGACGACGATTTCATCGTAAGTATCCTTTTTTTGGTACCACTAATCACTACTTTCATGCACTTACCTCTATTTACACAATTTTTCAAATAGGAGGAGGTTAAGAAATGTCAATTCGTACAATGGATCGATACGGTCAGAGTTACTTCCATTGGTCAAACGATAACGCAACCTGAGACGACCATGCAATTCATTCAGGGATGGATGGAGTACGAACGTCAGGTACAAATTGCAAGCTTAGACTGGAGGAACAATCCATTAGGTTTACCTAAATGGTCGGAGCGTCCAAAGTGTGGTTGTAAAGATCGCTGCCAGGCGGCTACCTCGTTTGCAAAATAAACAATTGGCAGGAGATACTTTGTTTGCCCCCAAAGAAGACGACGATTTCGTTGTACGTATAACAAATTACAAATTTAACTAGCATCTGCTTATTATTACTATCCTAACTAACTAATTATGTTTGTTTCTTATGGCAATCCAAGGAGGTGCGCATTCACTTTATGGATCGACAATGTCGATCCAACATATGATGGCCAAAAGATAACTGAGTCTGAAACACAAGTAGAGTACCAGCGAGAGAAGGAGCATCAAAAATGCAATACATGTTGAACGACGCGGAAGGAGTCGGTAGATAAGCTCAAGCTTGATTTGTCAGGACCGACAAATTTGTATTTTTTATCCATGCTATCTTGCCATTATAATGTTTCATTATTATGGTGTGTGTTGTTGTATGCGTCACGAATTATAAATTAATGTGATTGTATCGTTCTGAATTCCAAAGTTTCTTTGACGCCACGATACGTTGTATCCTTATAAATTTATAAGTATCTGCTTATATTTTTATAACTTCCACTTTCAATTGTGTACATGATTCAACATACGCGAGAATTATACGTAACTTACAATTTATAGGTAACAAACCCCCTCATCGTACTTTGTTCGTTTCAAAACGATACTTTACCTAATTTTAAGTGCTAAAAAATCAGGTTCATGTAAAATACCTATTTCGTAAAATTTTAAGTGCAAAATAGTTAGATTTATGTAATGAATAATTTGAAACTATTCCTCCTTCCATTTCTAAACGATGATTTACGTAGTTTTTAAAGTCACAATTAAATATTTCGATATAAAAACACCCCTTGTTGGGCTAGAAACCGCCAAAACAACGTGCCATTCAATTCTAATAATGTTTTTCTTATTTCACAATTTTAAAGTGATGATTTACTAAATTTTCTAAATGAACGGAGCTAAATGCCTGGGGGCTGCCCTTAAAGCTGGCGGCCCCCAACACAATACATAATCGCCCTCCCTAAGGGCGGTAATGGGGCCGCCTGCAAAAGGGTCTGGAATTTTGCAGGCGGCCCCCCGCACAGTGTTAAACTGCCCTTCCTAAGGGCGGCAAGGGGGCCGCCTGCAAAATGGTAGTAGCCGGCCGTTAGGAATGAGCTAACGGCTGTTTGCCACATCACAAAAATCGCCCTTTGGGAGGGCGATTTTTCCCAAAGGGCGGCGGGCGACTAATTTTGTAAAATTTTGAAACACAAAATTAGTTTTGTAAATATTTTAATAAAAAAATAAAAATAAAAAAAATTCTCCAAGATGCAACGCACTGGCCTGCCTAGTTATGTGCAGGCTGTGTGGGCCGTAACTCACTCTCTCCGGAAGGCCCAAACCGCAGCTCAACGCTTCTCTCCTCTCTCTCTCTCTGCAGCGCTTCCACGCTGCACTGCCGTCGGCAGCGTGCGCAGGAGGAGAAAATTGCGGAGGGGATCCACAGTTCCAGCCGCGTGTGACGGCGGCGTGCGGTTGCCGCGGCGTGCTGCTCGAGCCGCTTTACGACTGATCCGAGCGGCTTTTTCCGGCGATCATGGCGGACGCGCCCGCCACCGGCGGCGGATTCCCCGCGCAGGACTACCCCACCATCGACCCCACCTCGTTCGACGTGGTCCTCTGCGGCACCGGCCTCCCGGAGTCCGTCCTCGCCGCCGCCTGCGCCGCCGCCGGGAAGACGGTCCTCCACGTCGACCCCAACCCTTTCTACGGCTCCCTCTTCTCCTCCCTCCCTCTCCCTTCCCTCCCCTCCTTCCTCTCCCCCTCCCCCTCCGACGACCCCGCCCCCTCCCCTTCCCCCTCCTCCGCCGCCGCCGTCGATCTCCGCCGCCGCAGCCCGTACTCGGAGGTGGAGACCTCGGGGGCGGTGCCCGAGCCGTCCAGGCGCTTCACCGCCGACCTGGTGGGCCCCAGGCTGCTCTACTGCGCCGACGAGGCCGTCGACCTCCTCCTCAGGTCAGGGGGAAGCCACCATGTGGAGTTCAAGAGCGTGGAGGGGGGAACCCTCCTCTACTGGGACGGCGATCTCTACCCGGTGCCGGACTCGAGGCAGGCCATCTTCAAGGACACCACCCTCCAGCTCAGGGAGAAGAACCTACTCTTCAGGTTCTTCAAGCTTGTGCAGGCCCACATTGCCGCGTCGGCTGCCGGCGCCGCCGCGGCGGGGGAAGGCGAGGCCTCCGGTAGGCTGCCCGATGAGGACCTGGACCTCCCCTTCGTCGAATTCCTCAAGAGGCAGAATCTTTCGCCCAAGATGAGAGCGTAAGGAGGCCAGCCTGAAGCTGGTTTTAGTGTACTCTATTTTTAGCATTGGTGTCTAAGATTAGCTTTATGTGCCTTGTTTTCAGGGTTGTCTTGTATGCAATTGCCATGGCGGATTATGATCAGGATGGTGTGGAGTCTTGTGAGAGGTTGTTAACAACGAGAGAGGGAGTCAAGACAATTGCTCTTTACTCCTCATCTATTGGGAGGTCACTTAGCTGCTTGAACCTTTTTCTTGTGTATACTTTGGAGAGACATTTCTTTTATGAATTGAGCAATCCACATTCATATAGCCTTGAAGAGACATATAGTCTATGAGTGGGGTCTTAAGATAAGTTTCTCGCTGTGTCCCTAACATTTTATATCTGTTTATTTCAATTTTAACAGGTTTGCTAATGCAGAGGGGGCTTTCATTTATCCTATGTATGGGCATGGTGAGCTGCCTCAAGCTTTCTGCCGCTGTGCTGCTGTTAAAGGTGCCCTATATGTAAGATGATATTCTTGAAGTAAATCTGGCTTTGAATTTATCATGTGGATTTGGTTTGTTATTCATTTGATACCTCCACCATTCTCAAATAGATGACATTTTGGAACTTGTGCAGTCAAACCTTGAAATTTTAGCTCACTAATATATGTAAAAATATCAGGATTTGATATGTGAAAATAACACTAACAGGTCTGCCATGAAAAATAATTTCATGTAGTTATATTTTTTATTAATATACAATTAGTGTAATGGTCAAACATGTACATTGGAGACTGTGTTATTGTCTTAAACTACAAATAAAAAAGAAGGGAGGAGTAATTTTGTAGCCCTATACCCCTATATTATGTATAATGTCTCGCAATCTGATTGCACCTAACTATTTTATTATGATAATGTGCTAGGCCAATGTTTTAGCTTCTTCACTGAATGACTTGCACAATTTTTCTGAAAACTTGGCTAACTATCCTATACCCTGTTGACTTATATGACGTTTTGATACTTACCTTCCCATTTCTTCTCATCATTCAGGTATTGCGAATGCCAGCCACAGCACTTCTTGTTGATGAGGTACATCAATTTAATCTCCATACCTGATGTATTCGTGCCACTATTTGTGTCTGACCTAGTCAATTGTACCACAGATCCATTCTGATATCTTGCTTCTCTTATGTATCTTTATCATTGTTAGTTTTTGCTTCTATGTTCAAATGTGTTGGGCTTTTCGCAAACGTGTTAGACTTTCAGCTGCTCAATCAATTATCATTCACTAATTCACCAACCTCACAAATCACTGATGATTTTCCTTGCCCACTTTACCCATGGGCATGCTGCATGCTTCACTTGTACAATTGCACTACAGATCATACAATTAGTTCTTCATGAATATCATCCATAACCATCACTTTCTTGACCAGGAAAAAAAGCGTTATGTAGGTATCAGATTGGCATCTGGTCAGGATATTTTGTGCCAACAGTTGATACTCGATCCATCATATGAAATTCCTTCCTTGGATATGCCAAGTGATGCACCAGTATCAAATTTGCCAAGAAAAGTTGCTAGGGGAATATGCATAATCAGCAGCTCTGTGAGACAAGATACATCAAATGTTCTGGTTGTTTTCCCCCCAAAGTGTAAGTACAGCCATTTCTCCCTGTGTCTCTGATTAGATCTTGGTGCACCTGAAGGTGATATTTTGCTTCTCTTCTTTGACATCATCTGTTTCCTTCATTTTAGCACTAGAAGAGGAGCAAATTACTGCTGTTCGGGTGCTTCAGTTGAGCAGCAATTTAGCAGTATGCCCTCCTGGAATGTAAGTTTTTTTTCAAGGATGTAAGTTATTTGTCCTATTATTAACATTGCAATGTTAGGGTATTTTTACTACGATCACCAAGGAACCACTCATTTAAAACTAATACTGTATAATGTTGGTGAGCACTTCGCTTGGACCCTTACAAGCTAATCTCACTTGCAGGTTCATGGCATATCTCTCTACTCCCTGTACTGATGCCTTCACTGGAAAGAAATGCATCAGCAAAGCAATAGATGCTCTTTTCTCAACTAAGGTTTCTAATGATTTGGAAGATCATTTGGAGAAAAACAGTGAAGAAAATAAGGAGAGTGTGAAGCCAACCCTACTCTGGAGCTGTGTGTATGTACAAGAGATTATACAGGTGCGTATATTTCATTCATGGTAGTTTCAACATTGTTAAAAACATTTGCTGTTCAGATGTGCATATTTATAGTTTTATACCTTATATAACTTATTTTTTATTTTGTCAGGGAACATCTGGTACTGCATTGTCATGCCCCATACCTGATGAAAATATGGACTACAGGAGTATACTTGAATCAACAAAAATGGTACGCTTTCTTCTCAATTTTGTACTAAGTACTAACCACATCAGAAACTAAGCCAGAGAGTTTGGTTAATCGTGGATGTTATGAAACTGTTCCTGGCTTCCTGCCAAAATGGGAAGATTTATTTCTAGGTTACATTAAAAAAAAAAAACTTAGATGGAGTAACATATGCATCTGTGCAGCCCTGGTGCAGAATCATTAATCTTTCGTAAGCTAAACTGTGTTTGAGATAACTTTAGAGGTTGACTGTTCATTTCAATTATTACCCTAAACCATATGAAAAACAACATGCACCTGTGTTCTTTACTATGGACAACAACATGCATCTGTTCGTACCTGATGTTGCATTGTTCTTTTTGCAGCTGTTCACTGATATTTGTCCTAATGAAGAGTTCCTGCCTAGAAATTCAGCTCCCAAATATGCTTCTGATAATGACTCTGATTCTGCAGAGTAAATCCAAACTTGCAAAGGTAAATATTTTCATGTGGAGCTTACACTGTTTACACATGTTTAATTCATTAGTATTGGAATTGAAAATAAAACATTCTTTGCACATGAGTTGCAGTACTCATAGTACCTTATTGCATATGAAAGTACGAAACATATCAAAACCTTTGCAAGTGAAACTTTGTGCAATTTAATTATAAATACTGTTACATATAAACCCTGTAATCAACTATGAGTTTGTGCCAAGGAAATTTTTTGGTACAATTTTCTCCTTACCACCGGTTAATTGATTAATATTAACGTGTGATGGACAAGATAAATACCAAGAAAGCTATGAAGATTTTTGAACAAAATGCCAGGAGACGCATAGCTATTTCAACATTACAGCACTACCAACAGAACCTTTGATACTTTGATTTCATCTGCTGCTTTTTGATTTTATTAATTACAATTCCAGGACAAAATGACCATTACAAATAAGAAAGTTTGGGCGGCTAAATATATATCAATAAATAGAATGCATATATTCTTTTAAAAGATCATATTATTAGGTACTTGAGGTTTGACTTTCTGGTTTTATTAAATGTCGTACATGTTTGATTCATCCTGCTTTTGGAACTTTAGTTGTATTTTTTTTCCTTTGTCCACATAGATGCCATATACAGTACATCCTTACTAGTGATAGGTAATTCCAGCTACTAGTGGTGCGAACTCCTGCCTTGAACCCTGGCTTGGGCCTCAGTCTTTTTATTAGTATTATTTTGAAATCTTATAATGCAAAAGACTAATGATGGTGACGATAGCAAATAGATAATAAAGTAAAGCACACTCTTTCTTGTGATATTCTTGTGCCATAGGCCTATCGTGTTCTCTCATTAATTGGCTTGCATACTATACTATACTGGTTCACACGGCTGTCCTTTAGAAAAGTCTGAGATAAAGAAAAACCAGGCTGCATATATTTTACAGTGATCTTTTTGTTGGTAACAGATGTTTGCTTGTGCTGAATAGATGTTCTTGTTATTTTTGGCAGGGCTTTGTATTCTACATGACAGGGTTATCGTTGAAGATATCTGTTCCATATTACAGTGTTCCCCAAAGTCACGGTAAGAAATATTGCAGCAAGGGGGAGCCCTTTACGTTGGTGAGATTTGCCAGGTTTCTCTTTGACTAGATTGCAGATGCCTACATTGTTCCATCATTGGTACGACATATTATGATACTGGTAAAACACTCAAGAGAGAGCGATGCAGATGTCCTTGGCATTTTGACATTTGGAGAACATCATACCACATGAACCGCTTAGTGTGATTACTACATCCATATGGTTCTCTGAATTCTATGCTGAATTTGTTGGCACATAGGAGTACTGTACTACATAGGAAGGATACTGCTGAGTTCTATGCTAAATCTGTGTATTTTTGGTGGGCTGCCTGAATCATTGTACAAGCGAACGACAGAAATGGATATCAAATGAGGTCCCTCCGAGAGGGAGTTGCATTACATGCATCCTTATCGATCTGCGCGGTCAATTTCTGTTGCAATGACTGCAACAAACCTACAGAGAATCCTGATCCGCATTTGTTTGTTTGGGAGAGAACGAGGCACTGCGATGAATTTTGGCAAAAAAAAAAAGGGGGGGGGGGGGGGGGGCGGCTTGTCTATATGAGATTCGCATGATTTTTTAGGCTTCTATCATGCAGTGTTTCACCAAGTAGATTAAAAATGTTTCAGTCTTTTAAAAAAGCCAGAACACAACTAAATCACATCATGAAACATTTTGGTACAACGTATGAAACAACGGTTCTAAATATATTGAAATATGAAACAAATCCTGAGTATATCTAGGAAACGTCTATATGAGATTCTCATGATTTTTTAGGTTTCCATCATGCAAATTTTGAAGCTAATCGGACGCTGTTTCACCAAGTAGATCGAAAATATTTTAATTTTTTAAAAGGCTGATATATAATCAAATCACCTTGTGAAACATTTTACTACAACGTATAAAACAACGGTTCTGAATATATTGAAACATAAATGATTTAGCTATCAAAAAATCATTCGATAACCATTTAGTCTTCCTGAAAAAGAAAAGTTGATGTAATTCTGTGTTGGTTCTTACATTCTGTCTTCTTTGAAATATCTTGCCTTAATTCTCAAATATGTGAAAACCAACTCTTTTGAAAACAAACCATGCCCAAATAACATTACTTACACGTATCACGTATGCATGGATTGAAGTATTTTGCTAGAGGGGTTCAAATTATTCGTGTACGATTATGCACGCGAGAGCGTTTCCAACAAGTTTTCTTTTAGTCAAAATAAGGAATTATAGTTGGTTTTCGTCTCTCGTACACTTTACTAATACAATGGATAAATATATTATCTCATCAACTCAACTAGTATTTGAATTTTATATGAGTTTAAAGATTGATTTAGATTTAGATTCCACGTAATCGCGAGAGAGAGAGAGAAGAGAAGAGAAGCGCGCAGTGTCCAGACGCAACCGATCAGTCTCGCTTCTCGCCTCGTCTCGTCTCCTTCCTCCGACGCGCGGAACCTTCTAGAAGCTTCTCCCTCCGGTCGGGGGATGCCGCGCTGACCCCCTACCGTGGTTATGCTGGCGTCAAAGCTCTGGTCGAGGCTCGCGTCGCCGTCTTCCCCCGCCTCGCCGCGCGCCCTTTCTTCTTCTTCATCGGCGGCGGCGGCGGCGAGGTACCTACTGCCGAGCTCTGGGATGCCGGCCCAAGAAAGGTCGCCGGGTCACCCCAGTGGCGGCGACGCGCGGCCCGGTGCGGGGCTCGGGCTCGCCGAGACTGGGTGTGGCGCGGCCGGTGCGCCGCGACCGCTGCCGCTGCCGTGCTCTTCTTCGTCGGACAATCCCGCGTGAGTCTGCCTCGGCGTTCTGAATCTTCTGATTCTCTTGTGCTCAAGCGCTTGCACCTTATCTGGATCACTGAATAGGTTTACGCATTTAGTAAATCTTTAGTAAAATGTTTGCCCCAAAAAATGATAATGAAATTGTAGATTCAAAATTGCCCTATTCTTTTGTAATCTGTTGGCTTGAGCTAAATTTCGTGTTTGCGGTAGGGAAGAGAATCCTTGCACAAGACAGATATACCAAAGACAGCTAATGCCGCATCGGTTCAAGTTATTTTTGGGGGAGAAACGTCATTTTACATATGCAAATGGTGCTTCACTGAATCCGCAGAACTACAGATATTTTTCATCTTCTTCTGGCCAACAGAGTATAGGAATTGGTAACAAGGTGGGCAGCCATATGTTAATGAGCTTCTATGACAGAGCTTGATATGTTCAGCCTTTAGCTTTATTAAAGGAAAATTGCTGCCATTTTTGTTATAGAAGAATTATTTCCTTCTGAATTTATTGACTGGAGGCAACATGTTTCCAGATTATACATGACCTTCCAAGAAGTGTGAAAATTGTGGAAGTTGGGCCACGAGATGGGCTACAGAATGAGAAGAACATAGTTCCAACACATGTAAAGATTGAACTCATACAGAGACTGGCAACCTCTGGATTATCGGTTGTTGAGGCAACTAGTTTTGTCTCTCCAAAATGGGTACCACAGGTAATTTTGGTTTAGCAATTAGCATGCATTAGATACTTGCTTCTTACACATATACGGTTTGATATTTTAAAGATCACCATCCACCCATTTTTTTCTATAATATTTATTTGACTTCCATGATTTTTTGGAAGGATTTTTCTACTTGATAATTTTAAGAAAAGTTTGGTGCTAGCTCTGTTACAAATACAGAGCACTGTATGTTATGGAACAGCCATTACATGTGGTTATCGATCGTTAACATGATCCTCTTATTCCCAATGATGCAATTGCTTCTTGCATTATAATAGCCAATGTCATGTTTCTTCCAAAGTATTAAATTGTTGCTTCTCTTATTAAAAGCCAAAGAAATGTCCTTATTATAGAGGACACGTGTACTTTTCAAGTAACTAAATAAAATAGATGAGATGTAGCAAACATGACACACGAACAAGTATAATCTAGAAATAAGCATATGCTTGTGGCTTGTGGCATACTTATCATTGACCTGAGCAAATTATTTCACCGCACCAAGTTCCAGTTAACTTGTAATGGAGTATTGGAGTGAGAAGAAAAATTGAAAAATGTAGGAGTATCTCAATAATACTTTGCTGAACTTGAATCATTGTCCATCCATTGTTTCCAGATTTTATGGTTTTGTATGTATATTACTTCCATTATCTAACAAAAAAATGTATATTACTTGCTTGCTGCTTTATGTACTTGACCATTATTTTATTATAATCTATTTTTTATCCTGTTTGTTCATTGGTTTATTTACCCATCACATCTTTACCGTTGAGTTTCTCAATAATTTCTTGTTTCTAATTGTAGCTAGCTGATGCTAAGGATGTGATGGATGTAGTCCGGAATATTGAAGGTGTAAGCCTTCCTGTATTGACACCAAACCTTAAGGTAATATAATTTGATTCAGATAACTTTTGAGTACATATGTCTGTTTACCTCGTTTCACATTTATTCTGTTCGTTGGTAATCAGGGATTTGAGGCAGCTGTTGCAGCAGGTGCAAAAGAAGTTGCAGTATTTGCGTCAGCTTCTGAAGCATTTTCCAAGTCAAACATAAACTGTACCATTAAAGAGAGCCTTGCTCGCTATAAAGATGTTGCTCTTGCAGCAAAAGAGCTAAAAATCCCCATGCGAGGGTGAGTTATGTCACACAGTAGCCTGATGTTGCATCAAGTTTAATTTCTACATTTGCAAATATCGGGTGTATTTGTATGAAATAGTAATGAGCAAGTAAAGTAATCTGGATTTGATTTATTCTGTTGAATAACCAACCAGTCTACCTGTTGCCTCTGGCATCAGCTCACTAGCTAGTCTAGTGTATGATTTATCTTTCTCTGGATGGTAGTTCAGTTTACCAGAGTTTTATTCCAGGGTAGACTTGTATAAATAGCTTATACAAAATAGTGTGTGTTAATAGTCGCTCATTGCATAAATTGGTAGTAGATGCTGACACAAAGATAAACTGGAAAGTCTTCACATACATGGTTTGGCATAATGGTGTGGGCAAATCTGATTTATAGAACTACCATTTGGTTAGAACTTAGAAGAGATATGTGAGCATAATCAGTTACTGAACTTAACATTCTCTTCATTTTGTACTGGTTCTTGGTGCAACATGTTGATATCTAGTTCCTTTACTTGACAAGAATATAGGTATGTTTCTTGTGTGGTTGGATGCCCAGTAGAAGGATATGTGCCACCGTCAAATGTAGCTCATGTGGCTAAAGAGCTTTATGACATGGGCTGCTACGAGGTTTCACTTGGTGATACAATAGGCGTTGGTACCCCAGGTGATTTCATATTACCTATTTTCCATCTCCTGTTTTTTGTGCGCTATATTATCTATAGCTTCATTCAACTGCTGCAAGGCCTTAGTTCATTACATTTGTTAAACAAAAAATATTTCTTGCTGCGGGGGGCAGTTTTGCGCTAAACAGCTCACCGCTACAATCTTCTGGAGATTGTGTGTAGTTTTTCTTTAGGAGATTGTATGTATAGTTATTAACAGGATATTTGTTTTTCAGTGCATCATGATAAAAAAAATTCCTGTTCTTATTAATACTTACCAGAAAACAAGAAAACATCACATAAAAGGAAAAACACCATCGCGAACCATGTAATTCATGTGAATGCCAGTAGCCTCTTGCCCTTTTATACACATAGAAGTTTAAGTTTTTGTCTACTAGCTTTGGTTTATTACCCTTCTTCTCCAGCTTCATGATCCCATTACTAGCCAGGTTTTAAACAGTTTACTTCCTCCATCTATCCAGGCACCGTTGTTCCAATGCTTGAGGCTGTTATGTTCTTTGTTCCAAAGGAGAAGCTTGCTGTCCATTTCCACGATACCTACGGCCAATCGCTTTCAAATATCCTCATCTCTCTCCAGGTAATCATCCACCAGATACTAAACAAATCATCACACAGAGCCAAATGGTTGTGAACTTGTAACAACAAAGAATCATATGTAATTTCCCCACCAAAAAAAAAAGAATCATATGTAATTGATCATGTCCTCTGCTCTCTTTTTATTGTCTCACCTCCGAGTGCAGTGGCCAGGATATTTATTCCATTTTGTTCTACTGGAAAATGCTGCAAGCTTTCTTACCAACGATTACTGCATTTGCCTTTGAATCAGATGGGTGTGAGCGTTGTGGACTCTTCCGTAGCGGGCCTCGGAGGGTGCCCATACGCGAAAGGTGCATCGGGCAATGTGGCGACGGAGGACGTGGTGTACATGCTGAACGGGCTGGGGATCAGCACCAATGTCGACCTGGGCAAGGTGATGGCCGCCGGCGAGTTCATCTGCAACCATCTGGGGCGCCAGTCTGGGTCCAAGGCAGCTATCGCTTTGGGAAGCAAGGTTGCTACTGCCAACGCATCCAAACTGTGAGGTTCACTAACATTCACTGATGCAGTCTTTCGGAGGATGCGTTTCAGACATACAAATGTATACGATAAATAAAGGCGAAATTGGTTCCATGCTATTCAAGTGACCTGGGATTTGTCGGTGCTAGAAAACTAAAATCGGGATCGTTGGGTGATGTAAGATCAATTTTGCCAGAAATAAATGGACTGATGGGATTGTTGATTGATATATATGGTCAGCTTTTCCTGAAGAACTTAAGCTGATGTTTCCGTTGGTTCATGAAACTCAATGTGTGTATAGAGCCAGAAGCGGGTTGCTCAATATTGCATTTGAACAGCTGCACATTTAAAAAGAGAAGGAACGGGTGGTATATTTGTATGGAATAATCGACGATGACATAACTAGAATGAAATGGATGAAGAGGATAGTAGCTTTGAGCCCATTTAACAAAAAGACACCTTATAATTAAAAGTTTAGAACGAATGCTACAATCTCGCTCACCCAAAAAAAAAAAAGAATCATCGGTTCATTTCCAACTTCAAATCAAACGTTCAAACAGCAATAATATCATTTACAGTAGCTTGTTAAACACAATGGTACACTGCTAATGTGTTCCTGAAAATTGAACGGACTAGTGCACGCACCCTCCGGGCTTACTTCAATTATATACTTGATGGCGCCCATGAGGAAATACCAAAATGTTTGCACCAGTCCACTCAAAATGATCAGTCAGTCAAGCCTCCCTATAAAAGTCGGATTGTCATAATGTTTTGCTGAACTCCCCTGATGGCAGCACAAGACCTTTTCCGTAGGCCGCTAACAAAAGGGCCTCTGCTCGCCCTGCATGAGTGTAAAAAAAACATTATTGAGCTATAGAAGGAACATGTGTCATCTATTCTCATGGAACGCTTGAATTAAATGGATTGAAGCTAAATATGTTACATAAAAAACTTATTTAACTCATCCATGTAGGTCGTGAATTTTAACACATATACAACCTACAGATTCAATGGACAATACTAGTAGCAAATATGCACAGTGCACACTGTGAATGTGAAGCATATCAGGGGTCGTTTGATTTTGATTTGATGCGCACCTGGAAAGACAGACAATGGTTCTTTGTATTGTCTTTGACATACTCCCTCCGTCCCAAAAAAAGGCAAACCCTGGGTTTCCGTGTCCAACTTTGACTGTCCGTCTTATATGAAATTTTTTTATAATTCGTATTTTCATTGTTGTTAGATGATAAAACATGATTAATATTTTATGCGTGACTTGTCTTTTTAATTTTTTTCATAATTTTTTCGAATAAGACGGACGGTCAAACGTTGGACACGGAAACCAGTGTTTGCCTTTTTTTGGGACGGAGGGAGTATATCGCTTGTTTATTCATGTGTATCAGTCAAGTTTACTTCAAATGTTCAGATGAACTAGCAGAAACAAAAACATGGCGAGATAATGAACTATTCGCTAAAAATAAGATATAATGAACAGAAAATGATCTTGTTGCAGTGAAAAAATCATTTATATTAGCAGGTATGCTCAAGGCCAAAACTGCGTGACATAGGCAGTAAAAGTTTCACAGTATGTACCATGATGTTTCTTCCTATTCAGGGACAGGGCCTTGTCCGGGAACAAGATTGAAGCAGCTTGCCTGCTATAGTCCTGTTATAGATCATAAAGACAACCATAAGAGGGCTATAGAACAGCAATGAGTTGATATTCTACTTCAACACTAACCATATTGAGTTATTGACATTGAAATCATGTTAGGACAAGATCAAAAGCTAACAACAGAGATCTTGAGATATGAAGGTAATATTTTTCAGATATTTAATTCATGAACTTTGTATATAGGAAGTATTTCAGTGCTCTCCCGGAAATGAAGAAGAGTGAAACTGTGAATTGAATGCCTAATTTGTGACCACACTACTGCACTACCAACAACTCTATAGGACTTCCCTTATTTACACTACCACACTACTGCACTACCAACAACTCTATAGGACTTCCCTTATTTACACTACAGACAAAAATAAGCAACAAAAACTCCAGGCCCGGGCACTTCTACTTTGTTTTTTCTTTGTGGTGTGTTTTTGTATTGTTTTTTCTTCCCCTTAATGAAATGAAATGCAGCTCTCCTGCGTTTTCGAGAAAAAAAAAACTCCAGGCCCGCCATATAGAAACAAGAAGAATACAGACAGACACATGTTATCTTCATAGCCCTGGTAATGAAGTGAGACCTCAATCCCATCCCATCTTGTTAAACTCCAATAGTCCATTATACCCAACCTATAATGTACTTCAACCCTAAGCCAGCTCCCACGCACATTTTGGCCTCATTATGTTCATGTTGTACAGTGTGTTCATTTTAGTTGACACCTTCGTTTAACTAATTTGGATGGCTTGTTATATATTCTGCAAAATCTCTCCAATACCTCCAGGTTAACAAACAACTCTACTAGAGATTGTAGAAACAAAGAGTCATAAAGCAACTTTATGTTGCATACTTCCATATGACAAGAGTAACAAACCTTAGGTGATCCGCTTCGTGTTAGCCCAAAATAAGCCTTCCAGGTCTGTGATGCAACTGGAACAACTGAAAAACCAGATGCAACTAGAGCAGCAATCCACAGGCCATACGAAAAACCTGTACTCCACCATCCCTATATGACCCCCCAAAAAAAATCACCAACAGAACAGAAATTTATTGCTGAAATTCACATTGCACCACATGGTGTGATTATTCAAGTTATGAATAATTTCAAATTGGAATTCATTGTTTTAGTGTAACTCTAAACTTCAGATTATGTGAGAAACATCCTCAGGAACATGATATCTCAAACTGTCGCAAAAATTAGTTCTATTGTTTTCCACCATTGCAATCGTGCATACATCGTCAATAAAAAGACATAGGAGAGCACTGCTATCCAATTGCATACATTCTCCAATAATCAATGCAGGGGACATTAGTCTGATACTGTTGACACAAGGACTTCTACAAAATGGCTAAATGGAAGGAAGGAAAAGAAAATACCAGCTTTCCATCAGTTGGAAATGGGCTTGACTTCTCAATATATGCCGTAGTTCCTGCAAGAGAGCGAAACAAACAATGATATCATGATTAGAAACAATGCAGTTCTTCACATAGCGCATATCTAAAAGAAGAATGTGATAACTATGAATGACCATAATGAGTAATCATAATGGCCATGTCCCTTGTGCTGATTGCTGAACACAACACGAAGCAAACCAGCACCACCCACAAAAGAATGCAGTAAGCAGTACAAGTTGCACCCATCTGTTCATACCAGGAGGCGCATCGAGGCCACGGAGCAGCTCGATGATGGATTTGGTGTCCAAGCGCTTCCGGATGAACTCCGAGACCACTATGTGCACGAACGGGTTATCAAACACCTGCAAGACATGAACGCCTTTGCTCAAGCACACAAGTTGTACACACAGAATGCGCGAGTTCCATCGGAGCAAAGAAACCCAGCCATACCTGCGAGGACCCGTCGGGCGAGAGGACGGCGATTGCGCCGCCCGTATCGGGATCCACCCCAATCGCCCAGCCGGTGGAGGCCGCGGCGGCGGCGGCGGCGGCCTCGCCGTCGTCGACCGGGAGCAGCGAGAGGGAGGCCAGCCAGGGGTCCCTCGTATCGGCGTCCGCCAGTAGCTTCGCCCGCGCCCTGGCCCTAGCCCTAGAGGGGGACCTGGTGGGCCTCGTCTCGGCGGCGGCGGCAGGAGCAGGCACGCGGCGGCGGCGGCAGCTTCGGGAGCGGAAGGGCGGGGCGAAGAAGGCCGCGGCGGCGTCCCAGTGCAGGGTGGAGCGGCGGAGTGCGGTGGAGCGGAGCGCGTTCATGTGGTCCTGGCTGCCGGCGGGGAGGGCGGCGGCGGCGGCGGCGGCGGCGGCCGCTGCCATAATTAATTAATTAACTCGAAATGAGGGAGGAGGGGTTTTGGGGGGATAAGGCGTCAGAGGAGGACGCAGGCGTGCGTGATGCCTGCTTGCTTGCTCACGAATCTCCTCTCCTTGTTTATTTTGCTTCGTTTTTCTTGGTTTTTTCTTAATTGCAAAAGTTTTTTTGTGTGTGTCGAATTAGGCATTTCTCTTTAAAAAGAAAAATAAAAAAGTTTCAATGTCACATCCTCTTCGGAGGTTTAGTTGAAGTGATTTTGTGTATTTGATGTAGTGAAAAATGAAATTGCGCATGACAAATGTAGTGCAGGTGTAGGGTACATAAATCCAAGAACGCATTTGTCACTTGCGACAGAAACAATGCCATTTTTATTTAGAAAAGAGATGGTACATGTGTTTTTAATAGAAATTTAGTAATGTTAATGATTAACCACTAGCTTTTATCTCTTGTCGATACACTTTTCGTATGAATTTATCGAGATTTTTATGTTCTCTCGATATTATTGTTAGTCTCCGTCTATTGGAGCGTGTCATGGTACATAGGCGTCCTTCACGTAATGAAAAATAGCATTGGATAAAATCATAAAAATGAAGAAACTAAGCAGGAACAAGGTTTTCTTTACCGCCAGATGCAAACAGTTAGCACCCAGTAACCCAAACCAAGCATAAAATTTTTGAACAAAAATTTAGTTATTTTTGTTCAATTTTATCCGGTTTCAGTTTTCCTGACCGAAACATGATTAGAGTACTTATCCATGAATCGATGCTAGAACTGATCACGAGGCACAAATTTCTAAAGAATTTTACACTATGATTCCAATGTTTATATATCATCTATCCTACAAGCTGAATTTGGAATTATACATCATCTGTAAGGTGAGAGAAATTTAAATATTGACATAGATAACCCGTTAACTACGGCAAATGTTTGCTGACTTCCTAAGCAGACGCCTGACAGCTAGCAAGAGCCGAGTGGAACTTCTCATCAAATCATGGTACCAGTGGCAAGTGAATAAAATTAGCAGCGCACCATTTCGTCGCCAATCTGCTGCCTAATGGACCTCAGCATGTTGCCTCATCTTAGAAATATCACCAATTCTGCCCGCAATGTTTCCAGGGAAGTCGCATTAAGTTAGCTCAACGAGTCTGCGCTTCAAGGAGGATGTTCGTGGCCGTGTTGATGTCATTTCTGGCTCGCATTAGCGCCTGTCTTGCAGCATTTCCATCAAAGCCCATCGAAACCAGCATAGCGATTGAAGATTCTGGGGGCTCCACGACAGGAGCGAATCCAGATGGCTGATTGTTCTATATTAAATAGACAGAATCAAGATGTAAGCATATAGTCATTGGTTTTCTTTCAGGCAATGCTTAGGAACTCAGAGATGATAAAGGTTTCGTGCCTTGTATGTTAGAAACTATAAAAATTAATGGGCTATGCTTGTATCAGTAGAAAAATAATTGAATAACAGTAACAGATATGAAACATCAAAACCCATCAAGATGAGACCTGTAACTTAAGTATGAACTTTAAGAACATTGTGGACCAAGACCAAGGAACAACAATTTTGTGCTAGTAACTGGAGTCATCTTAATCTTGTTGATGATTACATATATGGATGAGTATTTGATCTATCTATGTTCACTTCAGTTACAATGGATCTTCATCACATATGATGGAAGACATCACAAAACAATCATAATTGTCCAGTTGAATCATTGAAACATGCATACATGGCAGCTAAGTATATGACCAATTACTCACCAGCTAAGAATCCAGATGAAAAGATTTATTTATCAAAGGATCAACATACACATAAATCAAAACCCAAACTTAGCTTATCAAAAACTAACCTGCACAGCACGGCTTGTACGAGAACTCATGTTTCCGACCAGACTCCTGGAGGGCCTAGATGAACCTCCCGAAGAAGGTGCGAAAATTCTTGCGAAAAATGATGCAATAACCTGTGGCATCTGTACAACGAGCATAAATAGTTAGAACTGCAGACAGAAAAATAGGCATGTTTTGAGCCTTTGGTCAAACTCTAAAGACAAGGAAATATAATAATAAATAAAAGCTCTCCTGCCCCACCCACCCCCAACCCCCACCCCAAAACAATAAACTTGAAAAGAACAGACACCAGATCGTACTACTCAAAACCAAGCTAGCAAATATCCAACAAAAAAGGGGAAACCAGGAATAAACAACAAAATGCAATAGCAAAAAAGATCTGACTAGATGTACTTTCACTTAATTCTGCCTGCAGCCATATGTATGTCAACATGGACCATACAGGCGGTCCGTGCTGTTCTTTTCTTCGAAATGATTATCTGATATTTAACAACTGTAGGTGGAGCAGGTAATGACTAGCTCCAGCCTGATATTACTTGGTCCAGTTGATTCCATATCATATTGCACACAGTGAGATTTTATTAAAAAATAACTTCTGATGCCATGACTCATGACTTGTGACTACAATAGTTCTAGTATATGGAATTAAATATTATTCCAAGTAACCAGGCGACTAACAGAAAAACAACAGAATATAATTTTAGTGGTACTGACATAACAAGAAAAATTAATATAGTATGAATAAGGGAGAACTTACCTTCATCCTGCGGATGCCAAGCACGTTCAGACGATAGAGAGAACCAGCAATCAGACCACAAATACCAGGAATAAGAGAACGCTTCCCAGAAGATAAAAGCAGCTGCCAAGAGTAACAGGGAAGTTGTGGCAATGAAATACTTAAGCGTAAATGACAGATAAGTATCCATTTCTGTCCAAAAAAAAAAACTAACCTGCAGGCCAGCTAGGTATATGAATGATTTATCACTGAAGTTAACACCAAAAATACGAAATCGTGATGTGACAGGAATGTCAAGAAAGAATGGAATGAATGAGGCAAATATAAGGCCATAAGGTCCACATGCAAGAGTGCTGAGGTAGTTGGTGTCTGCAAAAATAAATAAGAATATCAAAAGAAGCTCAATAATGACAAATAAAAAAGTCAACATTTGCCACAAAATTATGACAAAAACTGCACTCTCAATAAATTTCAAAAACTCAGAGAAAATAATGCTCATAATTCAACAGCTAAGCTCATGAAAAATAATCGTGAAAAAGAGGGAAGGAAACTAACATCAGCATGGAGCTTAATGTCTCGAAAGACCACTATAAAATGGTGAAGAACAATAAATCAAGAGCCCTATAGCATAATATGGCCAGAAACAATGTCTTGGAACAACTGGATCTAGTATGTCACATATAATGAATCTCTCTAGGTAGCAACTACCTGACTTGAATTCATAACATATTGAATCAATAAATTTGTATTTGCTTGCAAGTTGCACCAAATGATGCATTGCTTGCTAGTTCATTGGTTGGGTGCTGATATTTATCACAATTCAGCCTACAAACTACTCAGCTAGGTTCTCAACTATATTGTTTTTTAAGATGTATACCTTGACATTTTCTTATCTAGACAACAGCCAATCAGTTTCCAGAACATCCAAATTATAACAGTTGCAGAAAGCAGGAAAATGAAAACAATGTTAGTATGTAAGCATCATTCATAACTACTCAAGGAAAAGGAATTTAAAAGTATGTTCTTTTCTTAAAATTTACCAGACAATGCTAGTCAGAAATTTGTCTCATTGTCATACCTTTCAGGAGAACCAAAGATAGGATCTCAAGAAGCAATGATACTGAGATAGTGAATAAACTAAAAACCTGCAAAATACAATTAAAAAGCAATTATATCATGATCTCTTACTAGCAAATTTGTTTGAACAACTATTTCTTCTTACAATGGAAGTTAAAACAAACTAAATATACTGTTTATTCCTTCATGCATTATATATGGCCCTAAAACTGAGTTGATTCCACACTTAGGCTCATGACTTGATAGAGTATTTCCAATTGCACATTAGGTTTTTACACTTCAGAAGCATTTCACTAAAGTCTGCGGCATATAAATTTACAGTGCGTTATATGAAGCAGCTAAGAGCAACTTTAAAGTTCAAGGTACTAGACGGTAAAGTTCTCGAGTTCCACTGTACAGGTTCAGATGCAATATACTCCTGCTTCTAGTTCTACCAATATAATGTAAGTTGTTTATCAATCTCCATTTCCCAGAAAAGAATTGATCTCACTCTTTCTACCATACTATTACTGTTGTTTATCAATTCATTTCACAGCAGAGAGAAGTACAAAACTGAGGCACTTACCGAGTATTTGTTAGAGCCTATCTGCCTCTCGAAAACACGGAAGTAATAGAGCAGGTAGACTCCAAACAATAGCTCCGGTGTTGACTGAAAGGCAAACCCAGATGCAAACAACTTCCATAGACGGAAGTTTTTGACAATCCCCTGAAATAACAAAAATGATTGCTTTACACATACAAATTACAAAAGATCCGTCATACCACGGATGCAGCCCACCTTAAGTTTTGCATTAAAGAAGCAGAAGGTGAAGTACAGATAATAACAAGAATAATTTAACGGTGCTGCAGCAGTGCAAGCTAACAGGCACATGAGAAATACTGTTTCAGAGCTACTATTGGGAGTTAACTATCATTATAACTATAAGGTACACACATGGTTAAACATATATAAGTGGCATGGTGCAACTGAAATGTCATGTTTGCCAACTTATCAACATAAAATCATGTCCTACTCATTATTAACATGATTAGTTTCCATGTAAGTTTATATGATAAGTAAAACTTTAACTCGTAGTCTACTGTCCAAAAAGAACATATGATATATTCAATTACAACGGTGATGAAACATCTATATGTGCTAGTTGGTCTGAAGATGGTTCTTTTTCTTCTTTTCGGGTTGTGTACAGATATTTCCCAGACTAACTGAATCCTAAGTTGATGTACACATTTTGCTTCTGTTCTATTTGCCCAGAGATGCACTGCGTGACCGCACACCCCTAACAGTTCAATCCATGTCTTCCCACAGATACAGTCCATCAATAAGCACCAGCTACTGAGCACTCCTCAAATTTCCAGAACGGACCAAAATCTGCAATCTAACATCACCTTGGAACAACATTCCACTAGCAAATTTCACCCACTGATTCGCCAACACCATAGACTATTAAAAACAAAGTAATCAGGCACATCAAAACCTATGATTCAGCGATCGTGCATTCATGAATCTTAATCAATTAGTAACCCATGAATCAGGCACTTAATCAAAGCAACACAACACAACGCTCGTGACCTAACCACGGAACAGCTGCCTGAAAAACCAATCGAGATTCGGCGCCCGGCTATCCAGGGAGGGAGGGAGGGAGGATGACCTGGTGGGAGAGGACGAGGGCGCGGGCGCGGCGCTGGGCGCTGAAGACGACGGAGAGGAGGCCGCTGGCGAGGACGACGGCCCGCGTCACCGGCGCGTTCTCTGCAACCAACCAAAGCGAAAAAACAAACAAACAAACGCCGGGGAGGCGGTCAGGCACGGAGTAAACGGGGCGGAATTCCGGTCTCGATTCCGGCGAAATCTGAGTGGGGGGAGGGAGGCGGCGCTTACGGAATCCGGACACGCCGCCCTGCATCGCTCCTCTCGTCCGGAACCGATCGACCACCGCCGGGGTCGGGACGCGGCCCCCCACCTCTCCGCGGTCTTCCGCGGCGAGGGTTCCCGTCAACTTGGACGGGAGGCAGGCTCGCGGTCGCGGGCGGTCCGACGAGGAAGGAAGCGCGGGGTGGGGGCCGTGCGAGAGGTGCGGCGAACTCGACGGCGGCGGCGGCGGGCGGGCGGGCGGAGCTCGGGAGGGAGGAAGGGGGAAGAAGAGTCAGATGAGGCGTGGCGTGTTTTATGAGGCGGAAGAGACGAAGAGTCGTTGACGGTGGAGGGGGGGTGGTTGGCTGGAACTCGGCTTTGGACTCTCCTCCTCCTCCGACCTCCGGTGTGGAGCTTTCTAGAAATCACACAAGTTTGCTCTCTTCGCATCAGTTCCCTACACAAACTTGAGAAGCCTTTCTTAAGGTCTATTTGGATTGTTATCATACCAATTTTTTAAAAAAAACTTAGATAAATTTTGGTACTACCAATTTTTTTTTGTTAGGGTAAGATTGTATTTGGTTTGCTACAAATATAAAGCCAGCACATGAATTCTAGTGAAGATTGTTCTAAATTGATGCCAAATCTAGCATGGGCATTACCAATAAATTGGTCTCAATCAAAACAAGCACATGTACTATTTAAACTACCAAAATATTGGTAGGGCTAAGTTTTGGTAGCAATCCAAAACAGCCCTTAATTTGATTTCTGGGGCGGGGCAGATTGTAGCCAAAATATTACTCAATATTACCAAAAATTTTGGCAGGATTTCTTACGTATTTACTAAAGTTTGGAAAAAAAAACTAAATATATGCACATCTTTGGTAAATTTACTAGAAAATAATATGGTTAACATCAATATGAATAGCCCCTCTATTAAGTCAACCGCAATGCCAAATTTTAATAACGTAGCTAAGGTTAAGATGTGTGAATCGTGTAAAAAAAAGTAGGTTAAGGTGTGTGAATTGTATCTGGTTTGTTACTTTATTTATATCGAAGAAAATTTTAGAACTATCAAATCTTTGTAGAGGCTATTTTGGGTACTACTACCTCCGTTTCAGGTTATAAGACTTTCTAGCATTGCCCACATTTATATAGATGTTAATGAATCTAAACATATATGTCTAGATTCATTAACATCTATATAAATGTAGGCAATACTAGAAAGTCTTATAATATGAAACTGAGGAAGTATTTAAATTGTTATCTTATCAAATTTTGGTAAAGTTAAAATTTGTTATTGTTTATTTTGGCAAGGAAACCCCCCCCCCCCAATTGAAAGTCCATCCAACACTCTAAAACTTAAAACGAGAATACTGTTCATATAACACCCTAAGATGATTTTATCAAGTGGTTTTTATCTAACTTGCATATATGTTGAATGAGTTTGACCATGTGACACATGCATTGCACATATATATGTTAAAATCCTTGCCTAAACATTTTGCTTTTACCTTTTTTTTCTCTCACTTACAAACCAATGTTGATATAATACTAGTATGACATCACTATAGAGGGATCGATGAATGACGATATATAAACATACTATGTTAATTATTATTCAAAACCACTTATTTAAGCTCCAAATATGCAAAATTACTATCCAAAACTATCTTATGGTGTAATATAAATGATATTGTAAAATTTGAAAGGTTGAATGTTTGGTTTCAAAGTTTGGTGTGCTTCATGGAAGTACAGGGAGTACACAGACTTTTCCCTTTCGGCAACCATGTGAATTTAAGTTTGTATTGAAACTTTTAAACAAGTACTCGAAATTCTATATAAATTTGCTTTAGAAGTTCTAAAATTGGCTCCATGTTCTATAAGGGCCAGACTGCTCTGAATGTGGCAATGTTTGGGTGTATTAGATGGACGACTATTATCCAGGTCCTTAACAATCCTATGGCAAAAAATGGGACAACTAAAACAGTAAGTCCAATAACCAACATATATTCTGCAAAAATTATCTATGTCTTAAAAAAAACTATGCAAAAAAGTTCACTCTGCTGTTGTACAAAGGAAAATACTCTTTTACTCTCATAAAAAGGTTGAAACTAAATTGAAAATGGTACTAGCTGTAAATACAGAGAAAATTTGTCACAATGATACAAATATAGCAGTACTATTTTGTTTTGTAAGAAAAAAACACTCGCTCCATCTCAAAATATAACAACACAGTATTAGATTATATGCAAATAGTTCATAGTATTAGATTATACACCATGTTCACTTGGAGAGGAGAGGAGAGATGGCTATCTCAGCGGCCGTGCGTACAGTGGAACTTTCTGTTATCTTTTGAATTGATCAAATCGTTCTATAGTTAAATTAATTTGCTCAAGCTCTAAATTATTTTAGTCTTAATTTCCTCTTCTCATCGTCTTCAGTTTTTCAGTTAATTTTTCATGTTCCATCTTTATCAATATTAGTGTTCAACAATTTTCCATCTTTGAGTGCCCATGTCATCCTCAAGGGTGACTCAGGCGACGACCACCCGCGGCAGTGGCCCACCACCCTTCCCCTTCCTTCCCCCTCGCCGTCACCGATGCTAGCCGCCGGTCTACGTGCGGTGACAAGGAAGGCGACGGTGGGGCCGCTTTTCCTCTCCAGATCTAGTCGAGGCTCCTCGCGGATCTAAGGCGTTGTAGTTTGGAGTTCGCAAGGTCAGTAGCAACACTTGCAGCAGAGGAGGCGGCAACCCGCGTAGAAGGAGGAGACAGAGTCGACGACGACGGAGTTGGCGGTGACAAAGTTTGGGGGTCGAGCTGTTGGTGGCCCCATGGACAGATCTGGTACCCCATGGCCGGATCTGGAGAGGCTGGCGCCTTCAACGGTAGGAGAGCAATTCCAAGGTGGGCAGGGCTGCAGCAGCCACAGGCTTCGCAGTGGCCGATAGGTCACGGCGGTGGTGTGCTGGAGTTGCTACGGTTGCAGGGGTAGAGTTGAAGCCGCCAGAGCACCTAGAAAGGGTGGAGTTGGAGTTGGAGCCGTCGACGGATTTGTCTGGATTGGCGTATGTTGAGGGTGTCCGCATTTGCAGGAATTGCTCGTGCATAGCCGCAGGGCAACAACATCATGGTGGGCATCGGCTTTCTTGGTGGCTTCAAGGACGGCTTGTGGTTTCCCCCTCGACTGACCAATCTCCTTTTCCCACCCGGAGCTCCTCCCCTTCTTTGTATCGCTCTGCTTCTAGATCCCGGTGCAGGGAGCCCCATGGTAGTAATGAGGTTTCCGTATGGTCAAGCAGGGTTCCCACAATATGCTAAAGTTTGAGCAACCTTCGGCGTCATCGTCATTTTCTCGAGGTCTGCGACATCTAGGTGACATGTGGGGGGGTGTACCTAGGGATTTTGGTGGTTTTGGTTGGTTCCACCCACGGCTGAGCTTTCGCAAGCTGAGGTGAAGTCGGAGCTACTTGGTGTGACGAGCTTGGCAATGATAACCCCTCAGGAAGTGTAGTTCAACGTGGATGGAGGAGCAGTGTTGTATGCCCCTGAAGTGCAGTGTCATCTTGTGTTGTGGTGGAATCGGAGCTGTTGTGCCGGGTGGCAAGCTAGGCAATGATAACTCAGAACACCCTTGTCTTGTTCTTTAGGGTACTCCCTCTGTCCCAAAATATAAGGAATTTTGGTGGGATGTGATATATCCTACCTGTCCAGATTCGTAGTACTAGGATGTGTCACATCCCTCCAAAATCCTTAATATTATGGGACGGAGGGAGTAATCAACAATCGAGAGAGCCCAACTGCCCAAGGCGGAAGCCTTTCGTAGTCTTTTTGGTGATGGTGATGTTGACGCCTTTGGGTGCCGTGTTCTTCTTGGGTGCATCATTCATGTGACTCTCTCTTCTTTAGGTGAACACCTAGTTTGGTGCTACAGTCAGGCGTCAAAAGCATTCTTGATGTTGTTTCCTTGTTGGAGGCTTCGATTAATAGTTCCTGCTCCTGTGGTGGGTTTGTTTGAAGGTTGTGGCTCTTCTTAAGAAGTCGGGGCGCTTCTCGTCTCTTGATGAGTTTGACAACGATGACTTGAGTCGTACCTTAGTAGTCTTGTAGTCGTTGGTTGTTTCTCTTTTTTCTCTATGTGTAGGTTTTGACGGTTTTCCTTATAAACTGGGCTAAATCTCCTTCTTAATATATCTAGCAGAACTCCTGCCGTCGGTGTTTTTTTAAAAAAGTTTTTATGTTCCTAGGTGACATCAAAACCAATACCTTGACGGCCTCCTCGTTTCATGCAAGGCCATCAGTTGGCGCCAACGCACGCCGGTGTGGTTTCCTCTCCAAAATTAAGGCGTCCCCTCTCCCAACCGCACGTCGCGCGTTCCCTCTCCTCGCCACCGCCGTCGCCGCCGCCGCCGCCGCGCCGTTCCCCGCCCCGACCAGACGACCGCCGCCGCCGCCGCCGCCGCCGCCGCGCTGCCCCGGCGGCAGCGCCGCCGACCGCCACATGACACAGCCTCCCCGGCGACCCGACGCCACCGAGACGACGACCGCCTTCCTCGGCGCCGCGTCCACACCGAGCCCGCGGCCCGCGCCGGCCACCCCGCTCCCGGACGCCCCGTCGTTCCTGCTCGGCCCGTCCACGCCGCTCCCCCCGCCGCTCCCGCCGCCGACGTCGACGGCGGCGGCGGCGGCGGCGGCGAAGGCGAAGCACCAGAAGCAGCAGCAGCAGCAGACCTCCAAGCACTGGTCGCGGCCGGCACGGTTCGTGCGGTCGGTGCGCGCCGCGTTCCGGTCGTTCCCGATCCTCCCGGCGCCGTCGTGCCGGGGGCTGCCGTCGCTGCCCCACCTCCCGGGCCTCCACCACGGCGGCGCGGGCGGCGCCGTCAGGAACCACTTCCACGGCTCCACCCGCACCACGGGGACGCTCTACGGCCACCGCCGCGCGCGCATCACCATCGCCTTCCACGACAGCCCGGGCAGCCCGCCGGCGCTGCTGCTCGACATCGCCGTCCCCACCGCCAAGTTCATCCAGGACGTCAGCGCCGCCGGCATGGTGCGCGTCACGCTCGAGTGCGACAAGCAGCAGCATCAGCCGCCGCCGCACGCGCACCCGCCGGGGGATCCCCTCCCGCCGCGGCGGCTGCTGGACGAGCCGGTGTGGTCGGCGGAGGTGAACGGCGAGAGCGTCGGGTACGCGGCGCGGCGGGAGGCGACGGAGGCGGACGAGCGGGTGATGCGGCTGCTGCACGCCATGTCCATGGGCGCCGGCGTGCTCCCCGCCGTCGCCGCCGACGCGCCGACGTCGGCGGCGGACGGCGAGGTGACGTACATGCGCGCGCACTTCGACCGCGTGGTGGGGTCCAAGGACGCCGAGACGTACTACATGCACAACCCGGAGGGATGCGCCACCGGCCCGGAGCTCACCATCTTCTTCATTAGGACATGATCGACGATGATCACTCTAATTTATTTAGGTTTTTCTTTCTTCTTCTTCTTCTTCTTTTTTTATCTTGGATCATATTGTTCTTGTTTGATAAGTGTGCCTCATCCCAACCTTGTGTGTTTTCCTCTATGATTGTTTGTGTAGATTATTACATATCAATGGTTTAGTCTAGATTGCATATAAAGAAACCATGTAGAGAATGAAATACTAGATTGAAATGTTCAGATGGAATAAGCTTGATTAGTTGATCATGTGTTCAATTGGTGCATATATGCTTACATTGTATTGGGAAGTCGAATAAGTTACATGGTGATAGAGCTCTACGCCTCCATGCCTAACGCCAAAAGTTTTTGTTAAGCAAAAGGTATATGAAGAGGGCAAATCTATTATTCTCCTTTCAAAAATTGATCGATTGTCACACATTACCATTCGTGTTGTGATTCGTAACGCAAAGGCTAAATTTTGGCAAATAATGCTCTGCTCCAATGAAGTAATCTTGTCAAGTTTCTAGGGGTAGAAACATATCGAACTAATGGAGGCCTCCCATATCAATGTTCATATGTTAATGATAATGAATACACATCGAATTAAGATATTCATGTACTCCAATGTTGTGAGTAGGAATCAATGTTGTGAAGAATACAAATCCAATAAATGCTTCATATGGTTGGATCAAATTAATATCCAATCCAACAACATAATAAAGGAGTTCAGTGAAAGAAGTTTTTAAGGAGTTCAAGAGTTGCAAACTTCTCCCAAAAAAAAAACACATTGTCTTCCTCACTCTTTGAAACCCAAATTAAATTTCCTTTCTTTTCGTTGTATAAACAATTGGTTATGAAATCATAATACTTTGAGATCCCTCAAATTTCTTACAAACCTTTCTCCAACGGTCGACCCAACTCTCACAAACACAGCCGGGAAGCCAATCCGGGCCTCAACCTCGGCCTCAGACCCATGCGACATCCCCTCTCCTACACCCCCTCTACTCGTACGACCACCGAACTCATCGCCGGTCCAAACGTGCTTCCATAAGCCGCCATCTGACATGGGAAAGTAGGCGGTCACCGTGCTCCTCCCCTTGTCCAAGACCGGCACCACCAGCATCTCTGTCCCAACCAGGAATTGTTGGTATGTCATCTTCTGCACACGCTGATCCTCCGGGTAGTGGAGGAAGAGGTGCCGCGCCACGGGAAGGCCCTTCTCCGCCGCCTCCTGAGAAGAAACCAGTTGTCAGGATAAACAACTAGGTAGTACAATACAATACTGTGTAAACATGATACAATATATGGGCAATCACTTCTAAATGGGCAAGTGATTTCATCCCTTGAGGGGATATCCTCTCGTTTCGTGTATGCCACCTAAATAGTCTTTAAAAATTTTGACAAAATTTGGTAAGATAGATTAATATGATATAGTATATCACTCCACAAACATGCAGGTTAAAATTCAACTCCTACAAATTGTAACAAAAATAACAAATATAACTGCGAATGTACGATAACTATTTTTAGTTTATTTTGTTCTTTTTGTTGCAACTTGTAGAAGTTGAATTTGGTTTGTATGCTTGTGGAGTGATATACTTCATATTAATCTATGTTGTCAATTTTTTTAAAAGATTTTTATAACTATTTAGATGACATACAAATATAATAATATTTGCATGAGAGATGTCCACTCGTTATTTATGTCCTGTAACGTGCACCGTGTAAACTTTTTTTTTCCAGGCACGTGCAAAAGCTTTGCAATGACATAAGAGCGAGAAGGAATAGAGAGTGGCGTGTCACGTGTCAGTTCAGTACCTCGACGAGCTGGATCCGGTAGAACTCCCAGGCTTTGTAGATCTTTGCGCAGCGCGCGAAATGCGCGAGCGTGCGGTTATTGGAGTAGAACTGGCAGTTGGATCCTGGCTTGTTACCCTGCACATCCAAACTCAGAATTAATTGGATCAATGGATCATCTTGCTAGCTAGCTAGCTCGATCGAATTAATCAGCTCATTGTTTGATCAGCAATGGCGTCAGCTGATCAGCTGATGGATGTATATATATGTATGTACCTCGTGGGTGCGGAAGACGACGGTGAAGGCGCTGAGCTCCAGCCATCGGAGGAGGAGCTCCTCGCTGCGGCGGTAGCGGAGGAGCGGCAGGTCGACGGTGCAGTAGCCGCCGGCGTCGCCGTGGTTGAGCGGGAAGCCGGACATGCCGCCGGTGAGGAGGCCGACGACGCTGCTCTTGATGCCGTCGTTCGCCTGCCAGCTCACCATCTGGTCCCCTTCCCAGAACAGCATCGCCCACCTCGAGCTCTCCCTGAACCCCGCCCGCACGAAGAACACCAGCTCGCCGTCGCCGTCGCCGTCGTCGGCGTCGTCCGCGACGCGGCGGTGCTCGCCGGAGCGCCACTCGTCGGCGAACTCGCGGTTGACGCGCGCCCACAGCTCCGGGTACCGGTTGTGCGCCGCGACGGGGCCGTCGTCGCCGGAGCCGGAGGAGTGCAGCCGCGCGTTCAGCGGGAGGCCCTCGCCGAAGTCGGCCATCCAGCCGGCGGCGCCGCCGCGGGCCATCACGGCGAGGACCTCGCCCTTGAACCAGGCGCGCGCGGCCGGGTTGGTGAAGTCCAGCATGGCGACGTCGAACGCCGTGTTGGGCATCATGTACGGCTCGCCGGCGGCGTCCCGGACCAGGAGCCCCAGCTTCTTGGCCTCCTCGAACAGGTGCCTCCTCGCGTTCGCCTTCTTGTCCATCTGCACCCGCCATTGTTCTCTTCGTCAAGCTTCAGAATCACAAAAAAGCTACTCCCTCCGTTTTTAAATATTTGACGCCGTTGATCTTTTTAATTATGTTTGACAATCCATTTTATTCAAAAATTTAAATAATTATTAATTTTTTTCCATTATTTGATTTACTGTTAAATATATTTTTATGTATATATATATAGTTTTATATATTTCACATAAGTTTTTAATAAGACGGACGATCCAACATATGCTAAAATATCAACGGTGTCAAATATTTAAAAACGGAGGGAGCAGCATCGAATCTGCATGCATCGTCGCCATGATCACTGATCTCTGGAGCTCACCGGGACGAGGCATGGGTTGCAGTAGGTCATGGTCCTGACGCCGCGGCGCCGGAGATCGCGGACCAGATCATTCCATCCGGCGTAGTGGTCGTCGTCTACCTCCCAGTTCCACCATAGCTGGGATCCAATGGACGTCTTCCTCTGGCCAACCCAATCCTGCATTTTTGTGAAAGAATTTGTCCAGAGCTTGGAAATTGGATCATGGAGAGTTTACTTGGTTCAGAGCGCTGAATGCATCAGGATCATGGTCTTATCATTATCGACAGTCAGGGGTCTAAGGCCATCAACAATTTATCATGACAACTATAACAAATTTTAACTGGTGGAGTTTCATGGTAGTTGTGGTTTCACACAATTTTTTCTAATTAATTGTGTATTGTAAGGTTGTTTCCTTTTCTTTTTAAAACGGGGCACCTTTATTTTTTATATAAAACGTCGGTAATGGTTTGGCCATTCAAAAAAATATTGAACAAATTTTAGTTAAAAAATAGGTTCATAAGACCTAACCAATAAGAATTGTGGCATTTTGGTCAAACGCATCTAAGGCCAAGTCTACTATATAATTTTATTCGATACTACGAAGAAAGCCTTGGCATTGGGTCTACGTATTAGAGCAAGTTTAATAGTATAGCCCACTACTAGCTCCAAATCATCTATAGCCCATGTAATAGTTAATTCATAAAATAGTTTGCTTACTATACTATTAATATTTGATCTCACCTATCAGGGCATCCACAATGGTTATCTATAAACTCTCTACAAGAGATCCATGTCAGCATATTTTCCTACTTGAAAGAGATTAAATGAAGCGAGAGAGCAAAGCTATCTACTAACATGGAGATAGTCTATAGAGAAAAACGAGGCAATGGATTAGAGAGCTATAGATACCCATGTAGACATACCATTGAAGTGGTTTACTATTAATCTAGTCTATTGCTGAGATGTACATGTTTTATAGATAGCACCTTACTTTACCATTGCGGGTGCTTTCATACACACATTACATCTTAGAGTTTGTGCTGTAGCTGGCTACATATCTATAGCACGCTGCTATTCTCTCTCTTTCTTTTTAAAATATGGTTATAGCTGGCTTATAGCCTGCTATTGTACATGCTATTAGAAGGCTAGTAGATGCTAAAATAACACAAGAACTGATTCATGTAGAGACATATATTTCCAATGGATAAAGAACATTTCTTTTTACTGTCACTAAGTTTGTTACTTGACCTTCGCATGATAAGTAGAAAAAGACAATTTCTTTTGTTTTTAGACAGAACCGATAAACACTAGCATTGTTTCTAGCACACGTACTAGAGAGAGAGAAAAAAAAGATCTAGCACATGTATGACAAATTTATCTACTACAAGTCCTATGAATATGATAGGGAATAGTAGCAAACTTTGGCAATTGCGTAGGGAATTCAGCTAGTAGGTTCAGAGTTCAGATCGAATGCAACAAGAAACTCAGGTTCAGAGAGGGAGAGGGAGAGGGAGAGGGAGAGGTTGAGACCTGCAGCCAGAATGCAGAGACCGGGACGTCGTGGTCCTGCAGCTGCTTCCAGACGCGGCGGACGGCGTCCGTGCCGCCCTGCATCCCGACCACCGCGCCGGACGTGATCCACCGGGGAAGAGCCGGCGGCCTCCCCGTCGACTCCGTGTAGCTCGTGATCAGCTCCGTCGGCGAGCCGCCGTGCAGGATCCTCCCCTGGACTGAACTCCCGTACACCTGCCAGATTCATTCAGCACAGAATTGTAATCGGCGAATTGCAAAAGCAGAATGGATGTGCGAGTTCTTGGAATTCTGTCCATAACATCGATGAAGTTCTTGGTTTTATGATTGAAAAATTCTGAGATGCACTTGATAGTGCAGTGGTAAAGGGTGTGTGGTTTTAACACGCTCACAATTTCTTCTTAAAATGTTTGGAGGGATGTCTCTCCCTCCAAATCTCCTTTTTTTTTATTTGGAAAATCGCAAAAGCAGAGTGAATGTGAGTTCTTGAAATTCTGTCCATGAACATCGATGAAGTTCTTGGATCTGGTTAGTTTAGCTAATCAAGTATTGACAGTTCAGAATGATTAGTCAGAAATTCAGGATTCAGAAATGTGTTTAGGGGGTAATGGAATGGCTACCTGAATCTGCACTCTATCAGGCTTTGTCAGGTCAAAAATGGAGTAATCGTATCCCTCGAGGTACAAAGATCTCATCTTTGAGGTCATGTAGAACGGAGACGGAGCATACGTAGTACTCCAGTTTCCTCCAGACCTATACATGACGAAACAAAGTAATAAACCACCATGAACAACAACATACTAAAAAATGCATATCAAGTTATCCAAAAGAAGAGAAGAAAACTCGTAGAAATCATGGATCAGTGCTCACAAATCGACAATTTGACATGATAATTTCTCTCAAGAGAAGTACAATCTGCACAAGAATTTCAAGCACACACGCACAAGCTACAAATTCTCTAACCAAGGCACAACGGTCAGTCACTGTCGCTGCGGTTTCAGAGTTCTCATCTGCAGGCCTTACAATTCCTAGAATTATTTGGTGATTTCTATCAATGCAATGTCGTTTTCTACCTTAAATTGCTGTACTCTTCGAGCTCATCCAAATGAGCTGCAAGTGGCAACGCCTGGATAACTACTCCTAGATAAGTTCAGGCAAGCTCTCAATGCAGTTCTTGACACTTGCATGGCAATCTGGCAATGAGGATTTTCACTTTCTACTTACTATTCAACTACAAAAACAGTAACTTTCTGGAGTACTTTCTATTGCTTACCAAGACGCAAAGAAACCGAATATGTGACCGAACGGACCGTGTCAGGACCGGTAACATCAAACTTTGAAAGATCTTTTGTTGGTTGAAGTCAAAGTTTGGTAGGGTTAAAAAAACTGGAATAAGTCATGTACATAATAAGGAATATGATCAGTGCGGTCGATTTTTAAAGAAATCTGTTCAATTTCATGGGAATTCGGAAATTTTCCCCGTACTCAAAAAGAGCTCTGATCTCCTTTTGAGAAGTACTCACATGTCACAAGAACAAGAATGCAATTTTCCTAGAGTTGATGTGGTAAACCGGGAAGTAAAAAGAATTTATAAATGATAAGTGAAAAATTGTATAACCATGCATGACACCGTTGATGTACCATTAACTAATATTTTTCTATTAGAATATAACCACGACATATAACAAAATTATAATATTATAAAAATACTCCTTCCATCCCAAAATATAACAATTTCTAAAATTTAAAATTTCTTTCAAATATAACAACCTATTACCATCAAAAGATAACCTTTACCACTAAACTACCCATACTATCCTACTTCCTCCGTTTTATATTATAAAACTTTCTAGCATTACTCACATTCATATAAATGTTAATGAATCTAAACATATATGTGTATAGATTCATTAGCATCTATATGAATATAGTCAATGCTAGAAAGTCTTGTAATATGAAATGGAGGGAGTAGCATCAAAAGATAGTTTCCCAACTAGTAAGGGCCTATATCTCACTCCCCCCGAAAAGGCAACAAGACTTTTCACCCCTCCCCTTAATAGTCGTGCAAATTACTAAAACTTGATATATTTGAAATGGAAGTACCTATAAAGAAAAACGTACTCATACGATTTTTATTTTTCCAAACTAAAATCATTTATCATACTAATATTTTGAGAGGTAGTATTAATGATCATAGTTTCAATGTTGGACTAAATCAACAATAATACGTACTACCTCAGTTTCATCGTATCCTCAGTTTCATCGTATCGTAAGTTGTTTTGACTTTTTTTTCTAAATCAAACTTTATCAAATTTATAGAAAAGATATGCAATATTTTCAACATGAAAAAAAGCTATTAAAATACTAAGTTTGACTTAAAAAAATTAAAATACTCCCTCCGTCTCTAAATATTTGTTGCCGTTGACTTTTTTAAATATGTGACCGTTTATCTTATTCAAAAGTTTAAGTAATTATTAATTATTTTCCTATCATTTAATTTATTGTTAAATATACTTTTATGTATACATATAGTTTTGCATATTTCACAAAAGTTTTTGAATAAGATGAACGGTCAAATATATTTAAAAAAAATCAATAACGTCAAATATTTAGAGACGGAGGAAGTAACTTCTCTAATATGAAACGGAGGGAGTAGAGTACCCTGTAGCTGCCGGAGTATTGTGGATTTTGACTTGTTACCTGTAGCTGACGAGGTTGGCGGCGAACGTGATGGGCTGGTCGCCCCTCCCGATCCCCTGCTCCTGGACCAACACCGGCACGCGCTTCCCCTTAAACTCCACGCGGCTGAACTGCTCCCCGAACCCGTAGAACCTCTCCTCCCGCGAGCTCGCCAACGTCATCCACACCCGGTTGAACTCCAACTCCTCCTTCGCCGCCGCCGCTGGCACGAGCGGCGCGAGCTCCTCCCGGTCAGCCGGGACGCCCGCGGCGGCGAAGGCGAGCTTCTTCTTCTTCTTGCTGCCGCCGCTGCTCCGCTGCACCCGGGTGGATAGGCGGAGCCGGAGGATGCTGCCGGCGCGGTGCGTTCTTGGGGAGGTGGAGGGGGATGGCGATGGCAATGGGGATGGGTGGGTGGCGTGGCGGTCGTGGTCGCAGCTCCATTGGTAGTCGCCGAGGTTGACGCGGAACGCGACCTGCGTGTCGCTCTTCTCCTCGAGGAGGATCCAGTACCGCGCCGAGAGGACCGGCCGTCCGGCGGCGGCTGCGGCGCGGCGCCGGCCGCAGAGGCAGGACGGCGAGGGGGTCGGCTTCCTGGCGGACACGACGCCGGTGATCACCACCACGGGGAACCGCGCCTGCTCGTGCTCGGACGCCTGGAACGCCGCGCCGGCGACGCGCAGGAGGTCGGCGTCGGCGTCGGCGTCGGCGTCGCGGCGGTACACGGCGCGGATCCTGTCGACGCGCTGGCGGTCGGGGACGAGGCGGGCGCGGCCGTCGCGGAGCGCGAACGAGCCGCGGCACTCGTCGGCCTCGGTGTCCACGGACGCCGCCGAGACGAACGCGACGCCGGGGACGGTCTCCCACATCGTCGCGCCACCGCCACCACGGCGAGGAGCCAGCGACACCGCGCCGCCGAGGGACGGGTCCCAGCGGAGGAGGAAGTGGGGGCCGACAGGGAAGTCGTGGGCGCCGTGGGCGAGCTTGGAGGACGGCGAGAAGGAGAGCGGCGGCGCGGCGTCCCGGTGCCGGAGGGAGGACGACGGCACGGCCCTCGGGAACGGGTTGTTGAGGCGGACGTGGTCCTTCTTTCTGGTCTTCGGCTGCGCCGGCGATGGCGTCGGCGGCGGCGGCGGCGCCATGTCTCCGGCGGCGGTGGCGAGAGAAGGCGCGGCGCGGGTGCTCTGCTTGGCGAGGCGAGAAGCAGAGAGCCGATTGGCTGAAATAGATTCTGGAATGAAGGGGGAGTGGGGGCCCAGGTGGTGGTGGGCCTGGAGAGCACGCGCTCGTTTTGACTGAAGTGGATTCGTGTGAATTTAGGTAGTGTTTGGTTGGTGGGATGGGATGGGACGAATCTACTTTTAGAGGTGTTTGGTTGAGGGGCGAGTGGGATGGGTTGGTCCCTAGAGAGGAATATTCCTCCTAGATCCGGGACAAACACATCCGGCAAAATCGGCCAGACGAGCTCGTCCCACTTGGACGAAGCACACGGCGTCTCCTCGGCGACCGCCGGCGCTCGTCCGCGCCCGCGCCCGCCGCCTCCTCTGTGACCGCCGGCGCTCCGCCACGACCGCCTGCCACCACCTCCACGACCGCCGACGCTCCTCCATGACCCCCTGCCTCAACACCGGTCGCCGCCACGAGCGAGATGCTCTGCGCCATCCTGCCGCTCATCGCGATGCTCGACGAGAGCGGCTGCGGTGATGTCGACGTGGCGGGCTCGAGTGGCGGCGAAGCTTGGAGGTAGGGAGGGCGGCGGCGGTGGATCCAGAGGAGGGGGACTCGGCGGCGGCGAAACTTGGAGGTAGGGAGAGCGGCGGCGGCGGATCTGGCGCAGGGGATCTCCCGATCCAGCCGCGGCGACGATGGTGGGCCAGCGGGTTGGGTGCTCCGACGGTGGTGGCCGTCCTGCTGCTGCCACTGTGCTTGATTGTGGCGCAGTCAACGGTCGTTGACGGTGATGGCAAACAATGTCCATCCCATCTCCCCCTTATCCCTTCAACCAAACAAAAAATTAGGATTGTCACATCCTACAAACCAAACACGTGAGTGGAATCATCCTAACCCAAAATCAGATATGGTTTCATCCCATCCCATCTAGCTGGATCATGGATGGAGTAGCAATTTTGGTCACTTCCAACTTTGCCATGTGTTTATTTGGATTAATAGCATTTTTTACCCTGTCAATTTTTTTTGGCAGCTTCAATAGTAACGTATAAAGGCCCACAGTATTTGTATTATAAGTTGTTTGACTTATTTTCTAGTTAAACTTTTAAAGTTTGATCAAGTTTATAGAAAAATATAGTAGTATTTTTTTTAAAAAAATAAATATATTATAAAAATATATTCAATGTTAGATTTAATGGTACTAATTTAATATTTTAGATATTGCTAAATTTTTCTATAAACTTAATCAAACTTTATGAAGTTTTATTAGAGAAAAATCAGACAATTTATAATATGAAATGGAGGGCATATGAAATTTGGTAGTGCCAAAAGTTATCAAGGTTTTAGCACTAGCAAAATATTGGTACGACAAAAATTGGTAATAATCCAAACAAGCCTAATATCTATTAGTATTACCACATTTTTACAAGGTAAAAAAAATAATCTTACTATTGCTACTTTACCAAAGATCGATAAGGCTTCAACCCAAACACAAAAATACTATCAAAATTCGGTAGCATAAAAATGTGCCACAATTTAGTACTTCTTAAAATTTGATAACGTTAACAACAAACAGGACCTAAATGCGCTCACCAATGTTCAGGCCACAAGATTCTCTCCTTGCGTAAACAGTCCACGTGGAATGGCATACTGGCGAGGTAAATAATTTAAGAATATCCTAATTACCTTGTAAGATTGACAGATGATACGGTTTTGTATTTGGCGCCAAACTTGATTTTGAAAAGTTTGACCCAAATATATTCTAAATATTAAATATTTATGTACGGATGGAGTATAATAGATCTACAATCCCAACAATGTTATAATGCGAGGTGGAGCAGAACGACGCAAGAGCGGTGGAGAGTGTGTCGTGGGCAGCCTTGGATGCGCGCCGAGCAGCGGCAGCAGCGACCGCTTCTCCAGTAGTTGGGTCAACGTCGGATCCGGAGGAGGGTGTGAAGGAATTGCGTACGGCGTCGGCGACGGCTTTGACAGCCTCATCGATCGCGGCGTTAGCTGCATCAGGAAACAACGCTGGCTTCGACGTGGTGTCGGGCGCCATGGAGAAGAAGGAATAGGGTTTAGGTGTTGTCGACGTTTGATGTCACGATTCCGGTATTTGCACAGTATGGGGATCGTTGGTACTAGGATATATGCGAGATTTAAGTAAAAGAGACGGAGACGAGGATTTTTTATAGGTTCGGGCCCCTGAAATGTCAGGTAATAACCCTATATCATGTTGGCCAAAGCCGGTATTGCTTTTATTCACCATAATCATACCAGTATAATATTTGGGGTAGTCTATCTAACTATTGTCGACTTGGCAGTCTGTAGTACTGACTCGTAGTCGATAACAGGGTAGTCTTCCTCCTCGAATCCACATCCAGTGAGATCAGAGACAACGCTAGATTCCTCTCTTTGGTTCCCGTAGGTACCATATGGGGTTTTTCTAGGCTTATCTCTAAAGTCGATATCTGGCGTCTTGTCTTGGCGTATATTGGCTTGTATGTTGATCTTCTGTCTTGATCTATTGTTCCGTGTCCCCTCTCCTCCTAGGGGACCATGTATTTATACCCATAGGTATCCCCTCGTCAAGTAGAACTAGGAAAACCAATATGGATACAATCCGAGTAGTCCTTGTCGTTTTCATGTAGAGCTCTAGTTGTCTTTCCTTATCCGGAACTCCTCCTATATCCAAAAGTTGTTTCCGTATAAGACATGGTATCTGGTGGATCCTGCCGAGATTTAGTCAACTACTATTAGGTATGTGGTATCCATAACCCTGACAGGTGTGTAGCGGAAGCGATACCGTATCTGATACCATGTGAGACGGAGGAACTCAACGTAGATTGGATTAATCCCGGAGTGTTTAGATATATAGGCCTGTCTATAACCATTCAACCGACTTATAGCAACTGAATCGGGAGGATAAGGATCAAAGACTGTAGGAGATAAAACTCAACCATACACGTAAACTATATTGTCTAACAATAATAAATGTTATTGATGACTTACTGCATTGGTTTAACATCTTGCTAGTAATATTTTCGTAGTTAGTTTCTTGAATGAATTTTATATCGAAAATTAAATGGTAATATATTCTGGTAGGAAGTTTCCTAGGTGAATTTTATTTTAAACCATTATATATATATTAGACATATTGCGAAAGGAACAACCATACACGTGAAGCTAGAATGGGACTATAGAATGATTACATGTTTATGATTTATTTGGTACTGCACATGTGATTTGGTAAGTCAAATGGAGCAATGGAAATGCTTGGAAATTTAGCCCCATCGTTTTGCTTATACTTAAAAATTTAGTCAAAATTTAAAATTTAAAACTAAATCTTTCGAGTTGAATTTGTGGTTCTTTTATCATCATTTATTTTAAATTATTTACTTTTGAATGGCAAAGGACACACATATGAAAATCTTAATCACAAATTGTTTTTCTTTCTAATAAGCTGTACGGATAGGAATAGTATAAGCAAAATGATGTGGCTGACTAAAAAATTTAACCTATTTCAAATATAGGCTTCACCTGATTTTATACGATTGTAAATTCACAAATATTTTTGGTTTAGTAAGATTATAATCACGAAAGTAGCGATAATATTTAAATATGTAAATTATGTGCACCCTTCAACATGCATGATGGATAGTTATTTTCTCAACCAATTTGGTTATTATTCCGGGGTGTACATATCAAATTTACTGTAAGAATCTAAACTGGTCAAACCTCAGAAATGTAAACGGAGATACTCCGGAACTCCCCATAAATTACCGAAGTTTATGGTAGGATTGCTTTAGTGTATATTACTCCCTCCGGTTTCATGATTCCTGACTTTTTAAATAAGTTTAAGATTAAACTTTTGTAACTTCAATTATCGTTAACTTTAAATATATTTAGTTTAAAGAAACTAGAACAACATATATATAGATTTATATTTCAAAATACTACTCTCTCCGTCCCAATTTCATCATCACATAAGAATTTTAAAGTCTTCCCAAAATGATCAAACAAGTGACTATTTGTTTATTTGTGCAAAGAGTAAATAAACATCATTGAATGCACTGCATGTTACCAACCAAATTAATTTCTATCGGTGCAACCGTGAAATATTTAAAACATGAAGCAATTCATGGAAGACGATGCATCGTAGCACCTTAATTGATGATAATTAATTATAGAATGAAGATTTTTATTGTCCTTGGTCTCTGCGCTTTTTCTTTAAAAAAGTAAACATGTATTTATTTGTTGTATATACTCCCTCCATTCCATAATATAAGGCACAACCATTTTTTTAGATGTTCCATAATATAAGGCATACATGCATGCATACAATTAACTATGACATCTTCTCCATTAAATTATTAATTCTTTAAATCATTCACTCTTACATCCTCTAATTCTATTAGATGCATGTATTGTATTTATTAGGATGATCCAAACTATAAGATGATAATAATTATTTCTTGGTCTTTGGGTTAAGGGTAGTTGTGCCTTATATTTTGGAATGGAGGGAGTATTATAATAAAAACAAAGTCATATATATATATATATATATATATATATATATATATATATATATATATATATATATATATATATATATATATATATAGGAGACTGTGTCATTGTCCAAACATTAAGAATTATGAAACCGGAATAAATACTGTAATATGCTTTGAATTATGCAGATTTGCTATATAAAAGTTATATTATTAGATCTGCCACTGAAATTGTTTCTATGATGTTACACTCTTACTGAAATATTTTTATATAGATATATAAAAAGTTAAAAATTGAAGACGCACACCTTAGTTAAAAACATATATGATGTTAATTTTTTAGGCCTTCGAGATATGACTGACCATATTTTTTTGTTAGAATAATATATATAATAAGTTTGATTACTAATTCAAATAAATCTGCATATATCATTTTTATGTGTTCATGCTGGATATTTAAAAGATATTGATAGATTAATTAAGTTTATCCAAGGCATGTATCACAGTCATGGTGCAAAATCATTAGGTTAAGTGAATGAATGGCAGGAGTACAGCCCAGAGTTCCTTTCTTTGTAAAGTTTGTTGTCCCGTTGTGAATAACACCGTGATTGTGGAAAGGTGCATCTCGTATACAAAGTTAGCCGTGTACGTTCATGCTTAGTACTCCTAGCAAGTAGCTTTGGCAACAACCGAGCAGAAGACAAAGTAAGGATGAGGCTTCTTACAAGGTACTTCTATTAATTAATGGAATGAATGAATTTAGCTAGAGGCATGTAACGTGCCAAAGGTGGCCAGATGCAATGAACCTAGTAGAGGTTTACATATAGGACAATGGATATGTGGGCGTACCGTTGAAGTGATTTAATTCGGCACCAAGTTTTTAGGAACAAACAACTTCTTCTAACAAAATAAATGAATTGATACTCTCTTCATCCCAAATTATAGCAACCTAGAAACAGATATGACTCAAACGAATCTAAACAGAAAGCCTATCCAAATTCGTAATAGTATTTTGAGTCCATCTAATTCTAGATTATTCTATCATGGGACAGACGTAGTACAATTTGGAACTCCGTCTCTAAACAAGATGCATAGGTTCCCTCTAGTCATTAATATATGACTTTTTAACACTAGTTTAGTGTTAAAACTGTTAGATATTAATGAGTGTTAAAAATTTCATATATGAATATTATTGGAGTGAGTATATTATAGGACAAGTGAAATAACTTACACTCCCGTCTGATCATATTAATATGTTGATAGGGGATTGTTGTGATCCTATTATCTTACTCAATAAAGAAAGAAATCATATGACTAGATGGTTTCATACCACATATCACTATTTGGATATTACCTCCGTTCTCAAAAAGATGACATCAAATACATGCAGCCAAAGCTCGAACTTTTAAATCAGTCCTAGATTAAAAAATATATTAGAATTTAATATGTTCTTTTCATGTATTTTCTCGTAACGAGTTTTATAAATATATATTTAGAAAACATGTGTATCGGAAAGGGGCAATTTCATTCTTACCCCTACTTCGAT